ATGCATTATTATTATTATTATTATTATTATTATCATTATTATTTATGTTGATGTGTGTGAAAAAATTGTGCCGGTTTGAAAGAAATAAACAGTCACATTACAGCTGAACACGGTAAAAAGATAATGTTGCAAGGAGGATTTTGTCAAGTAAAAAAAACCCGAGAATGTGCTTCATGGGAAGAACACCCATCTCTTTTGAAAAAAAAAAATCAAATAAGGAATGGTGTGTCAAGGTAGAAAAAAGACAATAATTTGTTATAATTCCACGGCCTGGTATGTTCATCATTCAAACATTCAAACGTCCTGAAGTCTCTGTGGAGTTGATTGTGTTTTGGGCGATTAACTCAAAGCTCCTGACAATGCAGAAAGCTGCTTTGGGCCACCGTGTTTACCTGTGAAATCAGATGGGAAGTCCGATACGGCTCTCTGGTTGCAGGCGAGTGGATTTTGTTAGCTACTATCTGGCCTTCTCATCATGCACTTCCACACACTCTTTTAAACTGAAGGAACTCCTCTCTGCAGTATCTCAGGAATCACATAAAGACAACCCTGTGCTCTGCAATTTCAGCCTGCATGTCTGAACCAGGAGGCACAGGCTGACAGAAGCCTGTGTGAGGGGATTTATGTTCAGAGAGAAAGAGAGACAGAGAGAGAGGGGAAGGAAAACTATATCTCCTCCCTCCGCCTTCAAATTATTATGTTTAGCCGTGTCCACTTGTTTGGGAGAATCCTCCAAGTCGAATGAAGGGACTGGAGTAATGACAGCTTTGTTGGATGTATGTTTTAACAACTCTTTTACAACAGATTTTCCCACTCGTGCGGACGCTGTCATTCCGAAAACAAGCTGTTATTTTTTTGGCTTTGTGCAAAAAATTGTGAAAACAGTGCAAAACGTATGTACAGTGAATGAGAAAAAAGAAAAAACAAGTTTATACTGATTCATATGTCACCTTTAAGTTCCTCCAGTAAAACCAGTACATTAAAAAGAGTGACGATACAATCCTTCAGTTGTATGCACAGCTAAACAGAACTGTTTTAACCTGTATTTGGACATAGTCGGAGTAGAATCCTGTCTCAACATTTCAGGAAGACTGTTCCCGATTTTAGCTGGAATGCTGACTCCGGGCACCAGCAGGAGGCCAGACCCCTCCTCTGAATCCGTGTTGGTTCATGTGGCGCTAACATGTCACAGATGTACTTTGGTGCGAGGCCATGAAGAGACTTGAACACAAACAGAGAAAGTCTATTCTCAGAGCCACATGAAACCAGTGCAGAGACCTGAGAACTGGACTAACGTGATCGTGCTTCCTGGTTCTAGTCAGATTTTTCTGGGTTGCCTCTTCTATCCACACTGAGCAACACAGCCTGGTGTCTCAAAACGACTCCGCAGTGAACCCGCTTAGGAACCTAGTCTTTCTATCGAGGCGCAAATATGTGTAAACACAAATATAGCAGTAATTTAGACAGTAATCCAACCAAGCTTTATTTAAGTCTGTTGCATACATTTGGGTTTGGTGAAGAAGGTTATAAAACTACTCACAAATCATGTGAATACCACACTGAAGAACCTCATTCCTGATTTATGATTGTGTTTCTATCTTGTTTTGTAATGACTATAACTTCCCTTGTGTATGAACTGTGCTGTACAGATAAACATACATTGCCTTTGTCTAATTGCATGAATCCATTTCCCAATATTCCCATCATCAAAGCTAACATTCATAATTTATTTTCTAAACCACATGATTGCATGCAACTATATTGTTCCTCCGAGCTCTTTCTAAAAAAAACCAATTATGTTCAAATTATGGGCAATGCAACAATCACAGTATAAAATCATCAAGTGCTGGCTGGTCATTCGAGCATGGAAACAGCTAAACACTCAGTCAGAACAGTCAGAGCACATAAAACAAGATGCGTCTCGTCTAATATATTCTTTCAAATCTGTGTTATTGCTGCAGGTAATTACTGACTGCAGCCGAGTCGGGCAGGTCTGATGTATGGGGTCACACACGTGGGGTAAGTGGCTACACATCTCGAGTAAAATCCCATAAATCTCCCCCTCCCACAGGTGACAGGTCAGATCTGTGTGCATCTACGATTATAGGAAAGTTAGGCAAGTTTAGTTGTATAGCACAGTTAATACACAAGGAAACTCAAAATGCTTAACAAGATGAGAAAAATAATAATCACAGTGCATGAAAAAGGGGGAAGATGCACATTCCTTCAGTTGTATGCACGGCTAAACAGAACTGTTTTTGACCTGAATGTGAATATTGTCCGAGTTTAAGCCTGTCTCACATTTTCAGGAAGACTGTTTCAGATTTTAGCTGCATAAACCTGAAAACGCTGCCCCCCCCATGTTTAGTCCTGACTCTGGGACCAGCAGGAGGTCAGGCCCTGTGCTCCTCAGAGTCCGAGTTGCTTTAAAGTCTATTCTCTGAGCCTCAAGAAGCCAGTGCAGAGACCTGAGATCTGGACTAATGTGATCAGTCTTCCCGGTTCTAGTCAGATTTCTAAGGTTTTTGCAGCTTTCCAGGTCGCCTCTTCCTAACACACTGAGCAACACAACCTGGTGGGTCAAAAAAACTCGGCATTGAACCTCATTGCGACCTAGTCTTTTTGTCGAGGTGTGTACTTACTGATGATTTGACGTTGCTGATACACGTCCTAATCCATTCTTATGTACTTATCTCCTTATATACATCCCTAATACATATTTAATAGCTCCTGAACATATACTTGTGTTTCTCGTCAACACGACTGCAAAGGAGAGGGGATCCACTCATCAGAGCACATGCACATTACGGCTCCTCTCAGATTGGCGCTGGTCGTTCCATGTTTATGTGGAAACAGGAGTGAGGGTGTAATTAGTGTCTCCTTGATCCTGGGGGTGTCTGTTAGGCTGCACTATCAAAGAGGAGGGTGTTTTGTGCCGCGAGCTACTGCAGATGGAGACTCTGTGGTCCGAGAGCCGAGAGCCGCACCTGCCCGAGCGCTTGGCAGGTGCTTTATGAGGATCATGGTTTAGACTCTGAGGAGCATCAAAGACATACGGACCTTCAACTAGAGCAGTGGTTCCCAACCTCTTTGCCCTGTGTGCCCAGCTTAGACAGTGTCCACGGACAAAGCAGTAACAAATATCGCCAGAATCAAAAAATATATAGTGTCTAGAGCAGACTTGGGGATTCTTATCCATGCAGCCCGTCCGTCCAGTTCTCAGGTCTCTGCACTGGCTTCCTGTGGCTCAGAATAAGCCCAACAGAGAAGTGCTCATGGACAAAGTTTGGCTCCAACTCACTCTGGCTCCTGTTGACTGACATTGAAAAGCAAACTCTTAGTTCAGTAATTTGTTTCACACTCACTATTTTTAGCTTAAAAATCCTTTAGTTTAGTGTTCTTTGAGATCCGGGTGTTTATAACGTGATTTAGTCTTCGTACACTAGTAGCCTGCAAGTAGTTTGAGTGCGGACTGACCAGCGCCGCTCCTGATTGGTGCTTGGTAACTCAGCAGAGTCAACCAACAAAATGTGCAAAACTCTGGCTCCACATTGGTCTGTACCGCATTAAGGCTACATACATTTACCGTCACTTAAAATCTTTTGTCCCAGCCGCTATTAGACCACTGATCTCTCTGTAGTTTGTTGGGGATATGGACTTTGGTACTGTCTGAAATGCTGCACTGTCCTAATACGACATTCTTGTATATTGATGTATTTTTATTGCCTTTTTGATCCGTTTTTTTATTTTGCTCTCGTGAAGCACTTTCAATTGTGCTATCAATATTAATGATTGACTGATATATAGACATTGCTTATCATTCATTCATTTTCAACCCCTTTATTAGTCCATTTCTGGGTGGCAATGAGAGCTGCCACCCAATGCTCATAGCACCAGTCCTTCACTGATCCTCTGCAGGTGGTGGATCTACAGGAAGATGGCTGCTCCATCAGCGGTGAAACAGCCTTGGTCTTTCCGCGGGGGCTTCAGGCAACGTGGGGTTAAGTAGGACACAACGACAGTAGACATTTGTGGGATAATTAAAGTAAGTGCATGGTGGGCTCGAACCCACTACCTCCAGGCACAAAGGCTAATGCTCTACCAACTGAGCTACTGTCGCCCCAATCATTTTCAGAGGACACTTACCCTCTCACACTCACTTATAGCAGTTGCTTCTCCCCCCAGACAGAGCAAAACATATTTGAGTAAACGATTATACGCGTTGGGTTACTGCGTCATGTTTCCCAAATACTGCAGTTTCCTCACTGTGCCCTTTCCAGACAAACACCACAAAAGATGTAAAGTGATACCAGGATTAACTTGTTCTTTTTGCCCAGTGAGACATACGACACTGCTCTTCGACTGTACATGTCCCCTGGTTCTTTCTGTAAGCGCTGTGTCAACTCAGAAACACCAGCAATGCACATTTAGGGCCAAATATGAAATTGAGATATTTGTTTCTGATTTTCAATATCAAATAGGTTTTTATTTGAATCCTCAGTATAATGTAATGTTATAGCATTTACTAACTAATAATAATAACTAAATATTTTGGTTTGTGTACAAGAGAAACTCAGACATTTTTAAAACAGATCAAAAGCTATTTTATTTTTATTTTATATTTGATCTCACAGGGTTTGACAATACACAACAGAAAAAAATAATAAAATAAAGAAAGAGAGTGCAAAAGACAAAAACCAAAAAAGAAATACAAATTTGATGATGCATGTACATGTTTATAAAGTATTATTTTGATTTACAATAATTTTCCCCTCGCTGATCCTCTTGCAGGTGGAGGGTCTATGAGAGGATGGCTGCATCGGGGTTGCACATATTGGAGGGGGGGGGCAAAGTGGGGTTAAGTGTCTTGCCCAGGGACACAACACCAGCCAACATCAGTGGGAGTAGGTGAAAACTGTCTTGTTGGAATTGAACCATTACCATTTTTTAAAACAACAAATGACAAAGTAAAAAGTTTCATTATCATTTTCAAATTGCGACTAATATAAAAACCAAAAGGAGAGGTACAGCCTGAAGCCAGCCGAGACAGTGTTTGTTCCAGTCCACACATTTGTCACTGGGCGCTTAGGGAGCATATCTCCGTCATCGCTCGGCCCCATCCTCTTCCCAAGTTCCCTGAGAGTGGAATCCTTTACGACTGTGGTCTTTGGCGTCGTTAACATTTGCTTGACACGTCGGACGGCCCTCTCCAGACTCCGGCCCGCATTCCCTGGGCCCGCGCCCGAGTTGTTGTAGCAACGGACCGCGCAGGAGCTCAGGCAGATGTGCGAGTCATCTATCCAGCTGACAGCTCCCCACTCCCCCAGACTGAGCAAGCCATCAGGAGTGACAGCCTGCCCGAGCGCCCTCATCCATTACACAGGAGCCTAGTATTACGGCTCCAGAGCATTCAGCTACACTTCCAGTCTGCAACCAGGGCCCTCAATTAAGCCTCGGGAACTTTCGCCCCTCTCTCAAAGAACGTCTCTTTTATGGCCCAGACTACGGCCATCACTCATAGTTAATTTGTAGTTAAAGTTGATGCAAATCTTTCCAACAATGCGCTCGCTTTCCCATACATTTCCGAGCGCTTTAGTTCTGGAGCGGTGGACAGATGGGTCTCAAAAGCTCAAAAGCTTTATAACTTAGTGTTTTATTGTTTAGACTTTTTAAGAAGTACACTGCAATCATTGATCCGCGAATACCATTTTTGCTATCTGAAAAATGGAGCTAGAGTTAGCTGAAGTAGTAGTCTAATGAAGTCATTAAAGTTACAAAATAAATTTTGTTATCAGAATCTAACTTGCCTGTCAAACATGTAGCTCCCAAGCACAGATTACAGATTCAATCCACTTGCTGGGGTTTAGCTAACATCAATAACTAGCTATATTTCACCTGACAAAATGGTGACCCAAATGAGGGCATATTATCCAATCATGTATTTATTTGGTTGGCACAGTGCATGTTAATGAACACATCTCTCCAGATTGTTGCCTTGGGTTAAGTTGCATCCTTCCCACAGACACACTTACAAACACATATTACTCATTCACCCTGAACTATTGTACATGTTCATAGTGGCAGGGGAAACTGGAGCACCCAGAGGAAAGCGGAGCACCCGGAGAAAACCTATATAGACATGGGGAGATTATGCCAATTCCCCACACAGAGGCCTGGAGGTGGAATTGAACCCAAGACCCTCTTGCTGAGAAGCACAAGCACTTGCAGACGCGCCACCGCACCGGGCCACCCCTGATTGGATAATATCCTTGAGAACCTTTCATCATATATACTATGTCCAATTTAAAAGTGTACAAATATGAATGAACATGTAACCTATGTCTAGTATCTGGGGACAGGTATTCAATATGTAGCAGTAATTAAGAATGATCTTGTGCATACTTAGGCGAAAGAAAGAGTCACTGTGAGTCAATTTTTGACGCTTTGGGCTAAGTGAAGGTGGTCCTCTCTTTTTCACTTTTCTATCGGAAAAAAAGCGAATCTGAAGAAGTGACAGAGGCCACAAACACATGCACGTGAAAACTAGTGATAGAACCAGAGCGAGGCAGTTACATGAAAGTTAGGTACCCTTTAAAGGGGATGTCTGTAACATAAAATGTATATGAATGTATATATTTGATGCACATTTTCTAGGTCATTCTCTGGTCCAATACTTTGGTGTATAATGCGGAAGAGAATAGTAAAAGCAATGAGGAGGGAGATCATCTGTCAATGAAGTATTTGAACTCAATCCAGTGGGCGCTTCAAACCAGCGCTTGGGTTAGAAAATTATCTCTGAACAATTTGAAAAATAACTAGAGCTGAAACGATTGGAGTAATTGATAAATCATCAATTGCTGTAAACACAGACTCCATGTAAAGGTTCTAAATGGAGTTTTGAGGATTGGAATTTCATCAAAAATGAATACAAATAATGTCTTGTTTTTTATACTAGAAAAATAAAATGTTCGTTATCATGTTGATATTTCATTTCATCTGACTCAAAATCTGTCTGAATGCACTGGGATTGATTGCATTTTAATAATGTCTTTTTGTTTCAGTCTCATTTGAATTTGTGAACCCCTTCTTCATTGCCACTGGGGCCTCTGTCAGGAGCCGTGGTCGCTGTTGAACAGGGGCCCAACACCCCATGTTGAGAATTTTGCCTAAATGTTTTTAGTGGTAGAAAAAGAAAACCTACGCAGACACGGGGAGAACATGCAACCTTCCCTTAGAAAGGCCATGCTCTGACCGAGGAATCAAACCCAGAACCTTCTTGCAGAGAAGTGGAACGTTCACCACAATCTTAAAAAGGCGCTCTATCACCCCAGCGTTCTAAACAACTAATCAGTGAATCAAAAGAATATATTTGAGATAAATTTTCAAAATAACTGTAAATTGCCTCCCTGAAAATAACTGCTGTTCAGTTTGTTCAACATCAGGACGATTCCACACAACAACAACATGAACTCTGGAACACAATAAAAAAATGAGAAGGAAGTTTGTTAATTATTTTCTGTATTCAGTAGTCATGGAATGCAGCACATTTTTAACAGTTTTACAATGTACAACTATGGCAAGAAAACAGGGGCCAAAATACACAAATATTAGCTTTTTTCACAACAAATTGTACAGGGAATATGCAAAAAAAAAAAAAAACATAAATTAAACTTTCATATAAAAATAGCCTCTTACAAAATATACTCTATAAACTATTATTTACCAAAAGTGGTAAGTGTGCTGGCGTTTGATCAGTGAAGTCCATTGTTAAGCTAAATCAGTGGAAAGAGAGAAATGCCATTGAAGGCAGTCAGCAGAGCGGACAGCCCAGATCCTCTGGGCTATAGCAGCGAACAGGTCAGACAAACTCATGATGGGTCAGAAGGGCCCTTTAAGTAGCCATTTCCCAACCTCTCTACACAGCACAGTATTCATCCAGTGTGTAAAACATTTAAATAAGCTAGAAATCTCCCAGCATTTAGTAGTAGTCATCCTCCAAGTCGGATGAAATCAGTAGTTCCTTTACAGAATAAATTAACATTATTAATTTCCTAAATACAGTCTTGTTAAATATTCCAGCTTATGCCACATGTGCATCACGTCCAGTGTTTGAAATGGCATTATAATTATAAGGTATGTCCGTATATCTTTACCAATGACACTTCAGAGCAACCGGTCCAACAATAGTTCCATCTAAAAACTTCCTGTCGTCGACCAAAGATGTGCAAAAGCTCCTGTCCAGTCAAACCCACTGTCCGGTTCAGCCCCACACCCTCCAGCGACATCCCATCCCTCCAAAAATGCCCGACGTATCCATTTTTTCCCCGCCAACTTTTCCGCAATAAATACTCCTCACTTGCACGTGTACACCTCTGTCCTCTCGCTGCACGTGTTGCACTTGACGTAGCAGCACCACAAGAACTTGCAGTTGCATTGCCAGACCCGCGAGTACTGGTGCGTGTTGTAGCCGCGCCCGCAGCACATCAGGTCGCAGCCGCTAGTGTGCTGCATCATTGTCTTGTTGCACACTCTCCCCTGCGTGCCCAAGCTGCCCGTCACCGGATCCGCCTCGCAGTAGTTGGGCGACTTGTCTATGTAAACCAAATCCGTATCCATGGGTTTGCGGTACGAGTAGGGCTTCTTGATCTTGAGGAATTTGGGGCGCTTGTGGCGGCTGGCTTTGACGGGCTCCACGTGCACGGCCTGGGTATACTTCTCCTTGAGAATGTAGCCGAGCTGGCGGAACTTGGGGAGGGTGGTCCAGCAGGTTTTGGTGGTGCACGAGCCGGAGACGCCGTGACACTTGCATTCCAGCCGCATGTTCTTCTCCAGGATCTGAAGGCAGAGAACAGGGCGAGTGTTTACACAGAGCAGTCCACGAAACGGGAAGATTTGAACAGTCATCACAATAGAAAAGATCTTATCGTCTGCAGACTTGTGAGAAAGAGCCTTGTGAGTCACTGTTGAACTCTTTAGGCTGAGTGAGGGTGGTTGTCCCTTTTTTCACTTTTCCATCTGGAAATGATCTGAAGATTTGACAAGAACCAAACAATATAGGTATCTGAAAACTGTAGAGCTCCAAGTTGTTTTTAGAGTGAGATACTAGTTTGATGGAGTGTATAGTTTTGTTATTCATTTGTTTCTGGTTTTTAAGTTACGTCCCTCAGCTTTAAAAGTGACAGTAACTTAACATATTGTTGACGTCCTGGTCCTATACTACAATATAAAGAAGGAAGTATCATGTCATACAGTATCTATTGACGTTGCATTTTGGCGGGACTGAGGTTCTGACGTCAGACGCCCATGAGCCATCAACAGAACAACATAGAATTCCAATGTCACATTTATGTATTCAATTAACAAGGACTTAAGTTGTTCTTTGGTTGTTTTAAATTGTGTTAGTTAATAACCAACATCTAACATCAGAACACTGAGCTGCTGCTGCCAAGACGTCTGACCAAACCTCTGTCTGCCTCACGATATCCCCGTCCACACAGCGTTCAAGCTACACATTGCCAGCTGTGATTATTTGTTTTTAGGCTGTTTTGCTAAGTAACCAGTATCTAACTCGCCTGGTCGTACCACACCATAGTACAAGTTACATTTCGTACAAAGGTCTGTAGGTGCTTCATTGAGCTCTGTTAACAGGTGGGAGGGGTTAACTTCTTTTGCAGATTGAAACGATTGGATCTGAGTTTACTGTCACGTATGCAATGCGCCCGAGTGAGTCGTTTGCATTTAGCATTTAGCCTAACCAACTTCTTTGCCGCTAACGGAGCCCGTGGAGAGTAGCGTCACAATTTTTGCCCGTTTGACTCAAACTCTTGACGTCACCCATAACTAACTACAACACCTACCTCCCGCGCTCACTGAATGGTCGGATGGAATTCAACCGATTGTAATCGCAAACACAGGGACCAGACCCAACGTTACATGCAGTGTACGGATGGCTAAGGCCAGGCTAGTACCTAACAGCAAGTTGACGTAGAATACCAACGTTAAGTTAGTCATTCACAAATTTGGTCATCTAACGCTCCACCAAAACATCATGTTGGCGTCTTGGTTCTGCGGGGATAGCATAACCATCACCTGAGAGAATTGATGGAGGAGAAAACTTAGACCAATACATTAAGGACTTCACTAAAGGCATAAGTCGGAAGGCAGATACAGTGTGTAAGGTAAGGTAAAGCGAGACACACCAATGTCACAAATCAGGTTTTTGAACTGAGTGAACTAAAGAAATTCCCTCAAAACGTTTCTCAATGTTCTTATTCATCCCCAAACTGCAGGTGACTCATAACGATAACACTGTGAGAAAAATGGCACACGTTGCATTGAATAAACCGACTAACACAACAACATTCTCCAGATCGTCGCTGATTCTGCTCTTGAACTCCTCCAAGCATCAGAAGTGTAAAAGTTGAAAGCCTGGACGTGCCTGTCAAACTGAGTCCTGTATGGTTTGGGATTAGCCGCAGCCCCACCGCGCCGCGCTCGCACAGAAGCCAAAATAGTGTGTCATATTTCAGGCTGTGAGTATGTAGCAACACACAACACACAAATGTCAGCAGCCACTGTACGAGGCGTCGAGTGACTGGGATTAGGAATAAAGCCCTGGCCGATGACAATGAGGAGAGCTGGGTCAAATGAATACCGCTTAAGTGGAATTGGTAACAACAAGGTATTTCTATTGTAAATAACGGTATGTGATCACTAGAATAAGTCATAATGCTTCTGTAGTTAGTACGTTTAAAGTCTTTTTGAGTTGAAAACCATATTACGGCATTGTTCAGTCATACAGCTTTGTTCTACAATGGAAACGCCAGACAGTAACGTGTATGGATGGCCACAGGGAAGACCAGAACTTGTCAAAATGAACCACAGCCCAAACTTTGACGGTCAGAGCTTCATTCTTGTTCCACGGCTTGTTGCGCTGTCATTATGCACAGTATTGACCCTCATGTGACTTGAGTATAGCGTAGCAACCTCCTTTGGGTGTTTTTTGTTGTCTAAATTATTTGATCGGAATAAAGTGGCAAGGCAGGTTAAATGCTGAGTTGTTCTTACACACCAGTCTGTGTTGCTCAAGCTGGGGTTTTGGTCATCATTCTCATGGATTTTCACTCCATCCAGGCTACTGTTAGTATTAGATAGCAATATGGCCTACGTGCAGGACTGTACAAGGACTCTACAAGGACTCCATGTTATGACTATGATGTGACTGTCTCTTTGTGACACGTATGTCTTTCGATGTGTGACGTGACAATGACTATATAAACTATGTACTGCCTTTATTCTGTCTGAGAGAAAGAAACAGAGTAAACCAGTGGAACTTGAGAGAAACTTAAATAAACTTCCAGAGTTTGGCACACCACGATCCGTCTCTGTCTGCTAAATCCTAACAGATTTGGTGGAGAATGCGCGGCTCAGTGTGTGCCATTCTCTGGATTGTTTTGAGGGAGTTTTGCTCTGTTTCTTTTCCTCTGCGTGAGAGATCGGCATGCTGTGTCTGGGAGCGGGGATTCCAGCAGGCTGGAAGAGCTGTTCCTGGATGCTTCTTGTCGCTTCTGTCACTTTTGTTTTTTAAATTGAAGATTCCGACGCGGAAAAGAGGTTCTCTCGGACAGTCCTTGGAACCGGTTTGACAAGAATAAGGTAAGCAGACACCTTTTTTAATATGTAAAGTCTGCATAATTGGATATTAGCTAAATTTTGGTCTGTTTTTTGGGGTCTGTCAAACTCTCTAAATTGTATTTTGAAGAAGTCTCGGGGTTAAAGTCCCTTTGAGCCTCGGGGTTAAAGTCCCTTTGAGAAAGTCTCGGGGTTAAAGTCCCTTTGAGCCTCGGGGTTAAAGTCCCTTTGAGAAAGTCTCGGGGGTTAAAGTCCCTTTGAGCCTCGGGGTTAAAGTCCCTTTGAGAAAGTCTCGGGGGTTAAAGTCCCTTTGAGCCTCGGGGTTAAAGTCCCTTTGAGAAAGTCTCGGGGTTAAAGTCCCTTTGAGAAAAGCCTCGGGGTTAAAGTCCCTTTGAGAAGAAGCTTCAGGGTTAAAGTCCCTTTGAGAGAAACCATGGTGAATTAAAAGTAATTATAAAAAGGGAAACGTTTAAACACTAAAGAGTGCCTTTTGTTACTAGTGTGGAAAGTGATCACTTCTAGATTTGGATGACAAAAGTATAAAGAACAACATCAGTTATATTCGCTTAACAAAGTAATCTTGAAAGTTATTCTTCTGTATCTTTTTGCCTGTGTGTGTGCGTCGCTCTATCTGCTGCCGTTGTCAGGGAAACGGCCCCCTCCTTCGCTGCTCTGGCTGTGAATCTGAAGCAAAGCTACTGCTTTAGGAATTTGGCTTTTCATAGTAGTTATTCCGTTAAATTTGCGAAATTTGCCATTTGAACATTGTGTTAGACACAGTTAAACGTTTTTAAACACCATTAGTGAATAAGTTTTGAATATTATATGTTTTTGAAACCCAGAGATTAGTACAAAAAGCTGTGCTTTTCTTTTTAAATCTGCTGCTTATTTCTTAACTTTTTGTGAGTTGTGTTTGTTTTTATGTTTTTATTTTAGTTACAAAAGCCGTTTTTCAAAACATTTAAATTAGAATCCGTGTTAAAAGTGATTATTGATTATAGACTTCGTCTAAAAAGAAAGAGGGAATTAGGCTGTAAAAGTATTATATTATTAAGTTAAACTACCCAATTCACATTCAAGCGGTGACTTTTGTTTTTGTTTTGACTACACGCGTGACCTTGCTGCTGCTCAGAGACATGAGGAGGCAGCTCCGACGCACAATTGAGTTTTATTGAACCAAATCCAGTTTAGCTGGAGCTAAATCTTTTGTTTGATTTCAAGTTTTGTTTTAAATGTTTTTACAAATTAATGTTCATTTTTATAGAGATTTTTCATAATTTCATTTCATGGCGTCTTTCAAGAAACCCAAGGATGCATAGATAATTAATCACACAGTACAAAAGTATATAATACATGTTTTAAAGTTTAAAAGGTTGTTTGTTTTGAGTATAATTGTTGTTTTGATAACTTCTTTAGTTTCTGGTTTTAAAATGTCATCATTAGTAAGAGAATAAGTAATTTTTATTTACATAGCGCTTGGGAAAGCCAAGAGCGCTTCAAAATTGTTTAGACTTCAGAGAGAAAAACAATCTCATTCACAATCTCTGTTGTTTTTAATTTGACTATAAGGTTGTTTTCCAGAACCAAGAGCACACACTGTACAGGGTCACTGGACTGCTGGACACTGGACAGCGCAAAGCCCACCCAGCCACAGGTCACAGATCAAAGAGCAAAGGAAAATGCCACCTCCTTGCCCCTCCCCACGCCACTCCAGAGATGAGTGGGTGTGAGAGAGACCGGGGCCATGAAAGAGAGGTATCTGGAGACGTGATGGGTGGAGCGTCAGGTAGAGACCTAGAGGGAGTTGAAAGTGTGTCTACGTGGTTTACATCACCACAGTGTGACCTTTGAGACCTACAGGTGGTTCGTGGAGTCTGGAGAGACAACCCCAAAATTCATATACACACACACATACACACATACACTCACACATTCACATTTACATATAGATACATGAAAAAGCAGAACATGAGAAAAAAGCATTTTAAAAGTTTACTCCAATGTAAACACATATTTTTAATTGTCTATCACTTGAATCTTTAGTTGAATCAGTATTTTTTGAGACCAGAAATGTTCATTTGAATTCTATATTGTCATGGACTTAATTGAAGTCTGTCCTGACACTTTTGATTTGTTGATTTTGTACTGTGTGAAGTAATTACATTGATGAGAATTAGATCTGATAAAAACACAAATTATCATTCATCCCAAACTGCCTGACAATAATATCTTTAGATAATAAAAAGTAATAAATCACTGACCACTATAGAAGTGTAAATGTTGACCATTTGCCTTACTGTGTTCACAGTTTTATTCCTGAGAATGAGAGTAGACATGGAGCAAAATCCCACTGATAATATGCCACTGATAATGAGAGTGTAAAACTAAAGAGAGATTTATTAGATTAAAATGTATGTTTAAGAATATGGCTCAATAGAATCAAATATGCAAACATATTTGTAAATAGATTAGAATAGTTTTAAACTATAGTGAATAGTGAAAGTAAAGTACACAGTCTAAGATTGAAAAGTGAAAACAATACAGTGAAATAAGTGAAGTGTAGTGTAAACAATTAGCATTAGAATAAAAGTATAGAGTAATAAAAGTGAAATTAGCTTCAAATTTGAGACTCAGCTCGTTTTTGTCTGTGTTTTGACTGAATCTGCTGAGTTCTACTGTGTCCAATAGTTTTTGTTTGTTTTTATTTTTGTTTGTTTTTATTTTTGATTTGTTTTTTGTTTGTTTATTTACTTTATTTTTGTTTTTTATTTTTTCCCAGGATAGAGGATAAAATCCACTGATATTGATTTGATTATTATGAGTTTAATGCATACATTTTCTTTGTTTTTAATAATTTTTTAAAGTTTTTTTTGGGAATTTTTTTTTCTTTTTTTTTCCACTTTATTGATTGATCAAATTGAATGATCACATGTGATTATGTGATCAAAGGGGAGGGTGTTAGTATTAGATAGCAATATGGCCTACGTGCAGGACTGTACAAGGACTCTACAAGGACTCCATGTTATGACTATGATGTGACTGTCTCTTTGTGACACGTATGTCTTTCGATGTGTGACGTGACAATGACTATATAAACTATGTACTGCCTTTATTCTGTCTGAGGAAAGAAACAGAGTAAACCAGTGGAACTTGAGAGAAACTTAAATAAACTTCCAGAGTTTGGCACACCACGATCCGTCTCTGTCTGCTAAATCCTAACACTACCATGATATACTGTACATCTGACACAAATCTGCTCAAACACGTCCCCCCGCCCCTTCTGTCTCAATACTCAAACCAAGAATGCTATGACAGATCTTTCAAACATGACATCATAGACTAACGTTTCAACAACATTTACTACGAATTAAAAACAAAATCTATCTATGTAGTGCCCACCCCCCCGCCCCCCCCCGACCCAGAAATGGATTATGGGGTAGAAAATGGATGTATGGATGGATATGAAGTTTGTTTGGTTCTATCTTTTAGTTTTCACATCTTCAGAGCAGCTTTTTCAGACAGAAAAGTGAAAAAGAGAAGACCACCCTCACTCAGCCAAAATGGTCAAATAGTGACTCAGCGGGCTTCTTCTTACAAGTATTTAGTTATGAACTTGTCTTGTGCACATTGGGGGCTTTTACACATGTGTTCCAATGTGGTTTTACTGCAAATGGCAAATAAAATGAATCTGAATCTGTATGCAAATAATAACATGTTTTCTAATAAGTTGAAGAGAGCGTGTTGTAGTCTGATTTCTTAGGTCATTTTTAGGTATCCCAGCTTTAATTACGAAAAAAGGAACATTTAAAATGCTCTTCTAACATTCTCACCATAAATAGCAGAAACAACACAGCAACAACAGTGGGAAATTCAACTTGTTTTTCATGGAATTGCCTAAAAAGAGTCCGGGCTTAAGTTCCGTATCCATCAGCTGTTGTGTGACCAAATCTAGTGACAGCCTTTGTCTACTTTGAGCTGCTAGATTTGCATAAATTGTCAATTCTACTAAAACAACTTACACATTAGGAGCAACATTAGAGGCAAAAGCTCAAGAAAGATGTAAAACGTTTGATTTTAGATTTAATTTGATATATGTTTTGAGCAAGAAAAGTCTGTATAAACAGGTTGAAAAGGCCTTTTGAGCCTTTGTGGACGAGGATGTGTGAGCTGTGAGAATCTGGCTTGTTTGGCAGCGGGAGAAAGGGAACAAGTTAACTCTCCTAAAGCCCATTCTAAAGACTTCAGCGACATTTGTGCCTGCGTTTAAAGACTTGGTGAACTCTAAAGCGGTCGGTGACTAGAATAGTGAGCAAATGAAATGATGCGGACAAAAAGCCATAGTGGTGAAGGCCAAGATGGAGGCTTCAAGGGAAAAAAGTTGAAAGTCACACACAAACTAAATTATCCCAAACTTTATTGAACTTTTCATTCACTTTACTTACAGGACTTAGCGTACAAAGAAGAAACTAAACCATGAGAACCCTTAAAAAGTTTGCCTGATATTCAAAACATGAGACCAATTAAAACCCATCTAACGAGCTCCTCCCTTTAAATTTTGTATTTTCGGTCTCTGCAACATCTTCCCTTTTACATAGAAATGTGATAATGAGAAGACCACCGTCACTCAGCCAATCATCTCTCAACCCAAAGTTTCAAATAGTGACTCACAGGGCTCTGTCATAAAAGTATACCAAAGTATGTAATGAGATAAAGACAGCATGTTGTGGTCAGATTTGTTCACATTTTACTTTTACAAGTTTATCCCAGCGTTTACGGGTGTATATTTAATACGTAAATATTCCAAATGCGGAATATGACTGATTGAACTTGTGCTGAGTAGAGCCCAGGGCTATATTTTTCCATATTATGTATTTTAACCCAGTCCGTCTCCGATGGTTGGTGCTTGGAAGGTCAAAGTATGCACAGGTGTCTGTGTTTGTTGTGTGCTCCTTGTGAGCTCTCACTACTGTCCTGTATGTGTGTTGCAACACAATTTTTCAAGGTTCTCTTAAATGTCATTGTTTGGTTGGTTTTATGAACTGAGCACTAGGGGATGTAAACTTCTGATCAGGGTCAGAAGTGGGGTTTCTGACATCATTATTATCCAATTTTCACTGATCGCCATTATCAGGTAATTGACAATAAATCTCTCAGTGATGGCTTCAGATAACAATAAAAAGTGAATAAATAAATCATACAAACTCATAATGGGAAATATTTAAAAAAGAATCGATATTTCTGCTTGGGCGTGTAAACTCTCAAGCACAACCGTGTGAAAGAGTTTGGTTTGAGAAATGACACCCACCTTCCTGCCGACCTCGTTATTGTGCAGGTTCATGAGCGTGCGGGCGTTCTGCTTCACTTCCCGGGAGTCGATGAAGACTTTGGAGAAGTGCAGGCCGTAGGTGATGTCGGCGGAGCAGCCTCCCCACTTCCAGCCCTGGTCTTTGCTGTAGAAGCCCTGCTTCTCTTTGTCACAGCTGCAGTCGCTCAGATTGCCCTGTGTGCACGCCGCCGTGATGGCGTGGGCCACTCCCGCAGCGATGATGGCGTAGGTGAAGGCGGCCTCTTTGCTGCCTGAGGAGAGGGCAGAGAGAGAGAGGAGGGGTTAGCTACATTTAGAGGAACACAGAGTTGGTGTCATGGTATTTTGTTTAAACAAGATCTTGACAACTTTTACTTTTAGGTGAAATCTTTTTTTTTTTTTTTATATGGAGGAACCAAAATATTGTCTTCATATTGATACACAGTGTTTGTCCTAACAAAAAGATTTTCCTTAAAATGTGAAATGACGAACAAATCAGAATATTACCAATTAGAAATCCTTTTGCATAATTTGAGGAAAGTGCGAAAGTCACTTTTTGGGCTGAGATCTGATTGGCTGAGTGGGGGTGGTCCTCTTTCTCACTTAAATAATCAAAGATGTGACAGAGGCCAAAAATCCAGTGGAAATGAGTGATGTTAAGAGCGAGGAACAGGTTAGACGGTTATCATGACATGAGTACCCCTTTTTTTAGGTTTGAAAGTTACCTGACGTCTCCGTTTAATGAATAACAGAAATAATATTGAAAAAACCCTAACTCTAACCCTAATGCATTGGAAAACTCTGAATAACATCAAGCAGTTTTGAGAGCAATGAACTAGAGGTTAGATGGTCTTCATTACATGTTTGTGGCTTAAAGATACAGAGTATCTGCACTGTACACATACACTGTAATAAACAGTGTATGTGTACAGTGCAGACAGTTGAACCCTGGGACATTAGAATATCATTCAAAAGTTCATTTATTTCTGTAATTCAACATAAATATGGAACCAATATATTATAAACTAAATGGACTCTTGAACAATATTCTCATTTTCAGAGTGTCACCGGTACTTTCACGATGGTGAGTTTATGTCCTGCTTGAATGTTTTCTTATCAAAAAGCGAACCTAACATTATATAACCCCTAACACTAGAACTCTCAAATCAGTCAAACTGACAGCTTTTGTTTTGTTGGTCTTCCCAACTTTGTGACTTTGGCCATTTATTTATGTGCTGGGAACCAATGTTCTGGTCCTGGACTGGTTCTGGACCGGATCTGGTTGTGGCCACCAGAGCAGAGCAGTGTTAGTTACCATAGCAACACACTCTGTCCTTGCAGCAGTTAGACTCAGGAAACCTTTCTCCAAACTGTTTTTGCTGTTTTTCAAGTTTCATTCACCAGCTTTAACACTTATTAAAATTGAGTTTAAAAACCCTCATGTGTAAAACTAAACTTTCATAACTTCATTGATTTTTTTTTTTTTTTTAAATCTTATTACTTTATTTGATTGTATTATCCATTTTCAGTAGTTCCTATTTGATGTGTGCATCATATTAGTGCTCTTAATTCCTCCTTTCTTATATTTTACTAATGACATTGATATTTCCCCACTGTGGGACAATGTCATCTTATCTTATCTTATCTCAATCGGAGCAGTCAAAATGACTGCTCTGGGAGTTTCTGTAGAGTCAGAATTCTGGGAAGCAGAGCTAAGAAAGTACAAATAATTCTGCTCATATAAAACGTAAATTGCAGAGTATTTACACTAACCCCCACTATCAAAGGCATGTAAAAATGAGAGAAAATTGACCAGGGGAAATGATTAACTGCACATCGGTCTTGCCTGTGCGTCTGGCAGCTGCAGATGTAGTCAACAAAGCAGAATGAATAAGAGGGCTGTTGAGAAGGAAGAAGTATTGATCGTCCGGCTCCGGCTCTGTGTGCGCTCATAAGGGGACGCTGACATCACAATATTCAATTTGCTCTTATCTCTAACAAATCATTTACGCAGCAGGAAATAATGGTGGAGACGTAAAGGTTAAACCCACCAGATCATGATACTGTGTGCAGGATGGACTGGTTATGAGGGGGATTCATGTCGGGCGCCAGATCAGGAGAAAAAAAAGTAGGAAAAGTACTGCCTAAATTATGTTTTACACCTCAGATTATGACATCAAGGAGAAAGTCGGCCTAAACTGCACAGCCTCAGACTTCGTTCTACAGAGTCCGAGATCTACAACCTGTCCGTCTGTGGGAGTGAAATCCCTCTCTCAATGTGGGCCTACCTGAAGTTTCTCACATTTTCCCACTGTGTTTTTTTTTTTTTTTTTTTTGAGTTTTTGAGTTGTTCTTTGCAGATGCAGGTGTAAGGACAGTGATGATCCGGGACGTTCCAGGACATTTATGGACATTAATTAACTTTTATGCACAGTGGTTGTCCTGCTCCCAATGAACCAATGGCTCATTATTGTCATTATAACATTTCCTTTGTTTGAACGTTTTGATTCTCTGATCAGTTGTTGTTGAATCAAAAACTTTGTAAAGTCCTCCGAGACGATTGCTGTTGTGATTTACTGCTGTGCAACAATAAATTGAACTGAATTGAGCTGTTTAGTGCCTCTTTTTAATTAAGTAAGTAATGCCTCCAGTCAAACTACTTCTGTTAAAGAATGTTCCTTCATTTAGACCTCACCAAGTTAGACTTAGATCGAAATCCCGCACCATCTAATTTCCGACTTCTATCACTATGGTAGTGTTGCTCATTATAAAGTTTACATGTTACGTACATGCATAGATTTCACAGCTTTAAAGTGAAGGTCAGTTACTTTTCAAAGCAAGAGACGTCTTTTAAACGCAAGCCCCAGTTAGACCCGCCTCCACAGCTTCCTGATTGGACGCAACAAATTAATATCCTTAATAGACAGCTGAGGCCCCTCACTATTGGTCTATCAATTCTCCTCCAGCCAATCCTACTGGTGCTAGTTATTCCAAGGGCAGGAACTTTTTTATGTATATTTATTATGAAACAAATGATAATGCAGTCTTTCCTTCTCAATATAAATTACATTAAGGTTACGGTGAACTCCTAACCTGCATATGATCTGCATGCATTTCATAAAACATGTACCATTATAATTGTGTTAAATGTTTTATTCATGGCCCATGCAGACACAGCTGCTCCTACAGCCGTACTGCATCAGGGGTTATCGAGGTAATTAAAGCTGGGGTATTGAAATATTTAAAGTCATCAATTACCCATGTTCAGAGAAAGAGTCAGAAAGAGAATAAAATGACCGGACCACAACATGCTGTTTTCAGATTATTAGAAAAACATCACACGTAAGAAAGAGCCCTGTGAGTCACTATTTGACTCTTTTCTTTAGTCTGAGAACTTGAGTGTGGTCTGAGTCAGGGTAGTCCTCTCTTTTTCACTTTTCTGTCTGAAAAAGCAGATCTGAAGATGTGACAGAGACCAAAAATATCTGTCTGTGAAAACTAGAGATAGAACCAGACTGTTTCCTCAGTTCCCTTCTCTGTGATTTTGAAGCCCCTCTGCTTTAAGTCAAACAAAATCTCATTAGCCTTTTGTGATCTCAAGATATTATTACAAAGTAGTATCTATCTATCAATCTATCTATCTATCTACTGTATCTGTCTATCTAGCTATCTACTGTATCTGTCTATCTATCTATCTATCTATCTATCTATCTATCTATCTATCTATCTATCATCTTTCTATCTACTGTATCTGTCTATCTATCTATATATCTATCTATCATCTTTCTATCTACTGTATCTGTCTATATATCTATGTATATATCTGCCCGTCTGTCTGTCTGACTTTTGGCAGCGTGTCCACCGGCCCTGTTTAACCGGTACCAGGTCCTTCTTTATAGTCCCTCTCGGCCCTGGTTCTATCCAGATTGACCGGAGTGTTGCTGGAAGCCATGGTTGCCAAGGAATTTCCATGGACACTGGTTTGTTGAGAGTATAGGCTGCTAGCATAGAGCATCAGATTATACATTGTAAAGGAATTGCAATTGATTGTATGCATTGAAACTATTCACTAAACGCACAAACCCTCGCTTTAACTCGTATCATCCCTTGTACAAAGAAAAAAACTCAATATATCCGTATCTGTCTCTCCCATCTGAGTGTAAATAAACTGCAGCGCTTGTGTTTGCTCATATAAACACCGCACCAGGTTCGCTATCAGACACCGCCAGCACATTTGACAGACATCTTGGAAACACACTCTATCTATTGAGAAAAAAAAATCATATTGAGGCATCAGTTATGTGGACATTTTTATAGGCTCGCGAACGGGCCCCGGGCCAAAAAGCAAGGTGTGTCTCTCCAGTTTTGCTCTTGTTAATTTTTTCCCCTGCAGATCTGAGTGCACGAGTTCACCACAAGAGACAGCAATGGAATCCTTCAGAAGCGCGTAATGAAAGGTGGAAGCCGCGTGGAAGCCAAGGAGCGGCCGCCGATTACACTACCTCCACTTTTGTTTTCACCTTCAACTTTTTATCTCCTTAATATGGACTTAAGTTGAATGTCAATACGCAGCTCAAGGCCTGGTTTAAAAATACTAGACACGGCGGCTCTGCGCGGATACACCTCGCATTAGCGCGCTGCCGTTTCATTGGTCGGTGGCGTCTTTTCTTTTTTCTTTTTCAAGGTTTCAAACACAATTGCTCCTGCGCGACGCTTGGGGCTTGTGCGTCGACAATGGGAGTCATTTACGAGCAGTGGGCTTAATCTGATCGGTGAAACCAATCTATTAGGTATGCCTGTCCAAAGCGCGCATTTCAACTTTCCACTTAAAGCAGAGCACTGGCAAGGATAAAGCCTCTGATGGGGCGAAAGACACAAGAAAATAGACAGAATGCCAAACAATGTGGCTTTGTTTCAGAGAGCAAAGAGAGGTGATCCTTTCTCTGAAGTGGTGAGATGGTCTGGAACAGTTGGGATGTCTCGCTTTTACGACCTCTACACATCTCAGCAAAATACAGGGGGTTTTCAAATTGCGGCCCGCGGGCTAAGTGAGGCCAGTCGAACGGTCGGATCTGGCCCACATTGTTGTAATGTACCTAGGCTTAGTTGGGACATTAAAAAAGAGAACCAATGGCTCCTATGTGTTTCGTACTGTTGCATTTCCTGTGTTCTAACTGTTTGATTCTCTGATCTGTTGTTGGTGAATCGACAACTCTGTGAAGTCCTCTGAGGTGACTGTTGTGATTTAAGGTTGTACAAAAGTAAATTGAACTGAATAAGACCTAATGTCCCAGCTAAATCTACAGCCAAAATACCAAAATAGATATACTGCATGTGTTTTGTTTTTACTGCTTTTGTCCTGGTTTAGGCTTGGTTTCAATGTTGATTAAAGTTGTACATGTCAATAAATGTTAAACGTGTTAATTGTCCTTACATTGTCCTAATCTTCATATCTCTAGAAAAACATGTTGACTATTTCATCCTTGTAGAAAGCACCCTGTGAGTTTGACACTTTGGGCTTCTCGCTGAAAAAGCTGATGTAACAATGTGACAGAGGCCAAATCATGAATGTGAAAATTAGTAACAGAAATAAACTGTTTTAGTTTGGTTCTGTTTTATGGTTCATTTTTTGTGGTTTGAAAGTGAGGTACCCCAGCTTTAACAGATCGAACTATGATTGCAGTACGAGTGGAGTGGCCTCTCTCTGGCCCTGAAATCCTTCAAAAATTCCATCTCCTGGAAAATGAATTTGAAAAGGCCTTATACTTTTCTCAGTGTTGGCACAATACTGAAATATTTTGATACCACGTGATGTTATAAAAATGCACTTTCTGGGGCCCATTTTCTTCAGTGTTTTAGTGTGTTTGCATGTTAACAACTCCGATACTATTTTTTTTTAAATTAGGTTTATTTATTTGGTCATTGGTTGATCAATCGGTCGAAGGCATATGGAGCTAATAAGCTGAAGATTGTGTATTTATTTTGGTTTTAAATCCAGGACACTTTTGATTCACAAGTTTAAGTCACGTTATCATGAATAGAGTGATTGTTGTCTATCTTTTTTATTTTTCTTGAAATCCAATTGTCCAAGCAGAACTATACCGCCCTAGTTTAAATTCAATTCACACCTGATTTGTACTATCAAGGCACAATTCTGCAATATTTAGGTGCAATATTTATGTCACTCTGGCAAAAATGTCAACTCTGTCATTTTTTTTTTAATGGATTTGGGTTTGTATGGATGGATGTGTTTCTGCTGCTACTGGACACCTGAATTTCTCTTACAGGTCTTACGATCTATAACGTCTCTATCTATCTATCAATCTATCAGACTATGCTTTCCCCCTATCTACAAGTGCAACACCAGAACACTATCATATGTTCTAAACCTGCTGACATCAGACCCAAACCTGACTTTAACTCAGCATTTTTGCCCCCAGAAGCACACATTTCCATTCTCGTCCTGCATGTTCTCTCCTTGTTCTCCGCTGCTGCCCTCCCTGTACTGTAACTTATACCCGTGGTAAGATGGACGTGGTTACAGTGGGACCGCGGCACCCATCACTAGACAGGATAAAGACCAGAGAAAATGCCTCTCTGGGGACTGGAGAGGGCTGAATGGAGGAGCTGCCAACATTCACGGGAGCTTTGTCTGCGCGCTGGCTTCACATGCCTTTATGGAGCGAGAAAAGCAGCTCAATGTGAAGCAGAACTAGGCCTGGTGTAAGCGACACTGGCTTTCATAGGACGCACTTAATATTGAAGATGCTGTGGGTTATGGCTATCAAAAATCTGGTTGAGAAAATGGCTACTCAATCTAGTATTGAATCTAGATCTTAGTTTTATCAAATAGCAATACTTAAGATGATCTCTAGCAAACCCGGGCCGTTCCCTTATCCTATGATCTCACTCTAGATATGGGTCATCATATATTGACAAAGATCAAGCATCAGTCTTAATTCAATAATATGGTTATGGAGAATTGTACGGCAACTATGTGAGTTCGGATGTGATTCAAAAGCAAGAAATTGGAAGTATCCAAGTTATGTGCATATCTAATGAAAACAACACGTGTAGCCACTCTTTGTTATCTTGAGCATTTTTTTTGGCGTCAACCAGACTAACTTTCATAAATAATATGTTTGGTTTGTTGGTTGTTGTAAGAGGCTTGTAAAAGTAAAATGTTGTGAGCAAACCAGATAATCTTCTGCATATTTGAATTGAACTTTTCGTCTTTTGCATACTTGTTATAAAGAGCCCCGTGAGTCACGCTGATTGGCTGAATGAGGGGGGTCCTCTCTTTTCTCACTTTGGGCTGATGTAAATATATGACATGGATGCATGAGAAAACTAGTGACAGAAGCGCATTGTTTTGAGAGCGAGGAGCTGGATGGAATTATTACATAGTTAATTCATCGTAATTTGAAAGTCAGGTAACCCAGCTTTACAGCGCGCATTTTACGCACGCTTTACGCACAGTGTCCGAGTGCCAGTGCAGACCAGTGCATTTTCTATCACTTTACAAGCAATCTGATATCAAGAGACACAGACAGAGACACAATAGTAAAACATTTGAAACTTTAACAGACAGGCAACATACCCACTTTCAACTCTTTTCCGAAGACGGTCCGCTCCCCCAGCGCGGAGCAGTTCCAGCGGCCGTTTTTGAACTGAAACTGACACTCGTTGATGCCCATTTGCACTCCCTCTCCGATAACGATAATGGCATCGGGGCGACTTTGGCAGATTATCCGCTGTCTTGGGGCCAAACCCGGGATCTTGTTACAGATTATACTCGCACCTAGGGCCACCACCGACGAGAAACCACTGTGAATGGAAGATGGATGTGACTGAGACAAAAACCCTCTGTACGTGCCACCTGCCGCTTATGTTAATTGTACATTCGTTTTAATTGGGAAAAGTCTGCAAAATGACTGTTATATTTCACTGGAATAACACTCTAAATGTAGACAAAGCAAGCGCAATGCATGTTCTGGTTAAAGCCAATTTTCTAACGCACCAATAAGAAAGATATAGCCAACTATGAGAGCCAATAGATACATATTTGTAAACAGAAAAGTATGCTATATTTGTTTCAGGTCATTTATTACCTTGCATTAAGGCCATGCTTGCCAGAACTTCTTTCACATACAATCATATCATAGGTAAATGTAAGTTGTATAACCCAAAGCAAGCGCGCACTTGACTGTCCCTAGTCTAAGCCAAACGTATATACCTGCATACTAAACACAGCCTTAAGCCCATACATTAATATGTATTAACAATGACCTGTATTAAGTTGTAAAATAATGCATTACCTTGTATTAAGCCAACTTGGCATATATCCTATAGGATAGCATGTAGGGAATATGAAGATTTATAACCAAAAAGCAAGCGCGCACTTCCATGTCCATGCATATTCTCTTTGAAGCCTCAGGTATGGCCAATTATGTGAAACCAAGTAAAAAAAAAAAAAGTCGTTTATTATCTTGCATTGGGCCTATACTTGTAAAAACTTAGATCAAACAGACCACTCAAATAACTAGTCAAAACTGTGCGTAAAACTGCCAAAACTCACCCAATTTTCAAATAAACAATCCCGAGACACAGTAAAACTCTGAAAATCCAACGTCGCGTTTTCCGACTCATCGCGACCCCGTTCTGTAAAGCTGATAAGTAAGTCGTGTATATTCTCCAATCAGCACAGGTACGTCCACGGGAGGAACAAAAAGCAATCCAGGATCACATAGGTGCGTGTGAATGGTCAGTGTGGCGGCCAGAGTGCGTGCGCGGGCCCCGGTGTGAGGGCCCCGTGGTCATGGCGAGGCAGACGCAGGTGAACCGGTCTCTGAGGCTCTGTGTGGCTCTGTGTGGATCTGGTTCCTCTCACACCGCAGCTCCTCTTGACTTATATATCTGCTCTTCTATCTGGGGCGTGTTCAGGAGGAGACAGGGGCCCAGTGCAGGAATCCAGCCCGGGCTCAGAGCAGTGTCAAGGCTCTGGCTTTTCCTTGACTAATTGAAATGACTTTCCCCAACGCGGCTAACTCTATTGACTATTACCCACTAAGCCATAAAACATTTTCCACACATTTAGTCTATTTCATAAGTTTTTCTTCTTATTCCATTGAATTATCCCCACGGGGGTTCACAGTTCTTATTTCAAGTTGATTCCCATCTACTTTTCACTATCTTGATTATGTATATTAGCTCAAAACAACATCTTATTGAATCATTGTATAGCCTCCTTTTGTGGACCATTTAAAGCTGGGGTACCTGACTTTTTCATGAATTATACACTTGTCCCAACAGAAAGAGTCCTGAAAAAGTGAAATGTTGTGAACAAATCAGCCTACAACATGCTGTCTTCATCTTATTAGAAAACGTGTTGTCCTTTTGTGTACCTTTGAGTCATTATTGAGTCACTGTTTGACGCTTTGGGCTGAGAGCTGATTGGCTGAGTGAGGGTGGTTCTCTCATTTTCATGTATGCGAAAACTAGAACTTTTTTGAGAGTGAGGAACTAGTTAAATGGATGCTATGATAGTTAAATAAAATCCCATGCACTAATGGACTTCTTCTTCCAGAATTAATGCAGATAAATTATTACAATATTCAAGTTTATGTCTTTAACGTAACCCAAACTATACCAATTTATTTGTAATCAGCAGCCAGCGATTGTTTGCAGTGTGTATGTATGTATGTATGTATGACGTATGTATGAATGTGTGACTGTATGCTTTTAATTACCCCTTGAGGATTGGATGCTTTGAACATATTTGTATATTGTTTATACACTATGCATTAAAGATCCAGACCAAGATCTATGTGATTAACTGAAGAGCAGACAAAATAGATCGACTGCAAAAAACAGAACGACTGACACTAATAGTTTTATACCACCTTGTTGCTAATCCCACATCCCAGGCAGTAAAAATCATGGCTCTATTGTAATAACGCCCTCAGCCTTTACAATGTCTCCATCTAGCGGCGAATAAAACACGTGAAAAATCAAAACAAGGTTACGTCCGATTATACCTCCTTCCATGTCCTTTGTGCTGCTTTAAAGTACAGAAATAACGATTCAACAAAATATATCTATGGTAAAATCAAAGATCTAATAATAAATCAATAAAAATGATAATGAAAGTAAAATTCTGTACAGTCTGAGGGACAGGACAAGGAAGTAGAAGAAACACTTAGGAAGGAGGTACAGTCTGTGGATTTGGATTCACTCCCCTGCATCACTTCCGCAGTTCCGTACTTTTCCGGTCTCCGCGCGGATATATTACATTTTATCACTGGTTTAAATTGATAACAACATGAACAATCACCTCATAAAAGACTGTTTGATCCATATCTTCACTTTTCTGACAGAAGAAGAGCTGTTCAGAGCCTCTGCTGTGTGTAAGGTGAGGGTAATTGGAGGAGCTAGCTTACGGAAGTGTCTCACATTCATGAAACCACTGTTTATAAAGTAGTTTTATTATTGTTACAGGACTGGAATGATGCTGCAGAGACTCCGTGGTTGTGGAGGTAAAGTTTTGAAAGTATACCAGGACTTTAGTCTGGTGATAATGCAGTAATATCTCCACTTATATCTTGTTTTCAATCTTACATTGTGAAAGGAGCTTTCTATCTTGTCTTGAATAACACAAAATAAAACAAACAAATAACGGAACAAAGCAGTGTCTGTCGTTGTGTCCTTGGGCAAGACACTTAACCCCACTTTGCCTGAAGCCCCCTCTGTAAGATCAAGTCTGAAGCCATCCTCCCGTGGACTCACCACCTGCAGGAGGATCAGTGAGGGGCTGGTGCTCTGTGTACTGGGTGCATCTCTGATTTTCAGTTCATTAACACATGTTGATTAACAATATAACCATGTGCTACTCATGACCTAATTATTAGTAACTCCGTTATGAATTAATATATAATATACATCTAATGATTGTTAAATTCATGGAGGACACGCTGGAGGGACTATATCTCTCAGCTGGCCTGGGTCTTCCTTGGGGTCCCCCCAGACAAGCTGGAGGAAGTGTGTGTGGATAGGGAAGTCTGGGCGTCTCTGCTTGGAGTGCTGCCCCCGCGACCCGGCAACGGATAAAGCGGAAGAAAATTGAATGGAATGGATTGTTAAATTATTTGTTATATTTACATTCACATTTACTACTCATTACCTAAGTTTTTCCACCTAATGTGTAATATGACCATTCCCAGGAGGATGTCACTGCGGCGTTGGCTCTTCTGTAACCCCGGGGGAGATGGGGCTCTGTCCTGGAAAAAGTACTTCCTCCGTCGGTCCCACCTGGAGAAGAAGATGAGCCAGGGCAAAAGCGGAGGCTACAGCTGCAAAAGTCTGAGAGGACACACAGGTGAGGAGCAGTGTCTCGGTCACTCCTCAGCTCTGGTTTGGAGAGTTAAACCTTCTGATGTGGAGAAACTAGCATAAATATTTAAACAGACCTCCATAAGAGACATAAAACAGCCCCATCCATATTTACCCTGGAATTTACTTCTGTAATTCAGTAAGTATTTGAACTTGTGTTATTGTATTTTAGAGGAAATGTATGTTCCTCTTGTGATCCCCGTGCAGGCAGGGTGATAGGACTGTCTTACCTGAACAGAGGCTCAGCAGATTCCCCTGAGCTCTGGAGCAGCACCGCAACTGTGTGCAGCGCCTCATCTGACGGGACCGTGAGAGCGTGGAGCGTCCACAACGTGAGAGCCAAAGACACTTTTAAACAATTGTTTCATTTGCTTCTACAGCAGCCAAGGGATTAGAACAGTGGTCTCCAACCTGTAGCTCGCCAACCCCTTTCAGGTAGCAATAGAATCCAAGAGTTTGACACACGAGTCTCTATAAAAAACCTCTTTGAGTGTCTACATAAAACCAATGGCTAATATTTTTTTTCTTTTTACTGTATAAAATGTCCATGATTTTTCGCAGTTATTACATGGACTACAGGTTTATTATGACTTCAAATAAGTCTGCCAATTTTGTTGCTCAAAAGTAGCTCACCAAACAAGTTGTTGGAGACCCCTTTATTAGAATATATTATTTGTATGGATTTTTTGAAATATTTATCTTTTCCATGTTGTAAAATAACAAGTTTTTTGCCAACAGGGTGACCTCCTGTGGACCAGCCCTCCATCCCAGAACCCAATGACGGACATGGTCACTGATCAACAGCACAACCTGGTGGCCACCGCTGACTCTGCAGGTCTTATCGCCACTTGGCACGGTCAAACTGGGCAGCAGATGGCCACATATTCCTCTGGATTTTCTCACAGCAAGTTACTCCAATATGTCATCAACAACGACTGGTTTCTGAGTGTAAATAAACCATCTGCTCTCACTTCATATCTTTTCTCATGCATCTATTCTAGTCTATCTGCTTGTTTTATTTCCAGGTGGGAGGCGGTGTTGGGTCTGTGATAACTTTAGCAGGACCAGATTTAACCAAGAGGTCGACTTTTATGGTCTGCGACTCTTTTCGAGTTACAACACTGCTAATTTCACCGGATAAAAAGTGGATCGCAGCGGGGACGAGTGACAACATCGATCTTAGTGCCAAGGTACGTCAACTATTAACTTCAGGCGACATGTATGTGACGATAACCTGCTTTATGTCTTTACAAAGGTTATGTACACAGAGAGTTTTACTTCCGAATCGGAGGACGAGGAGCCAGTGGTCCAGTCTCTGCCAGTGGCCGGGTGCCAAGCGGCTGTTTTTATAGCCACACACGCGTCCAGACTGGTGATAGTCCACACCGGGCCGCAGCGGAGCAACATCCTGACTGTATTCGACATCTGTCTTAAGAAATCCAAGTACAAGACGGAAATTATAGGTAAGCGGCGCTGATTATTATACCTGCTCATTTGTGTCACAGCATGGTAACCTTTTGCACTTAAACATACAATGAATATACTGTATCTGAGAGTAAATGCCAGGATTGTCACATATTATTTCTTTACATTATGAAGGTATTTGGACAAAATTATATTGGATCTTATTTTCAGATAGTATTCTGTTTGATTGGATTGAACCCAAACTTGAGAAAAATTGGAGAAGGCTTGCAATTGTGGATTGATATACAAAAGATGTATTTGTTTTATTTAATTATATCTAATTACGAGTTGGGGTCACATTTTAGAATACATTAAATGGTTGTTTTCTTGAGAATGAGGAATAACATGCCATTGTAACCATATTGATATGATCTATTCTAATAAATGAGACGAGGGCCACACACATGTAGTATTCGCCATCAGGCTCGAGCTCACATTTCTCATATTTTCTCTCTAAAAAGTAGCTCTCTCCCATTTATGTCCTGAAAAATTAACTCTCTCTGGGCCTGGAGTGCAATATTTCTAATGAAATAAAATAACGGCTTATTTACCGAGCGCGAGGTCGGTATGGAAAAATATCAGCCTTAATGTACCGACCGAGCCGTGGCGAGGTCTGTGCAAAAAGACCAAGGTCTGATATTTCTCTGTACAGACCGAGCAAGCGAGGTTAATAAATGTTTTATTATATGACTATTTTTTTACTTATGCAAATATCGATCTCCGACTTGGTTTTCCTAATCGAAACAAAGTTGTCAATCTGATCTTGTCTGTTAGCTATTTTTTCTTCGTTATTTTCTGTAATTTCTTCCTCTGGCTCGTCAAACTCGTCCGGATAATAGAATTCACTGGAGAATGCTCCCAGTTGTCGGCCATTATTTCTTTATTACCGAGGAAACTCAGGAAATAAATCAAATGTGATACGCGCTGTTCGGACTAATTGTCATGGTAACGGTCTGAGATGGGAAAATATCAGACCGGTAATCAGCCAATCAGAGCGCGCGTACGGTCCAAGTCATATAATAATTGTCAGTATCACCCGCCTCCTTTGACCTGCCCCCAACATTAAAACACTTACCACAGCAGGATGTAGCCCTAATGTTTACTCAATGGTACATTGTTATTAAATGTTAAATAATGTCTGCAGTTAACCAGGTGAAGTCATTTGATTTTCCCCAAGTCCGCTCCTCCTCTCCTAAACTCCTGGAAGCCAAAGACAGCAGCTGCTTTCTGTTAGCAGCAGACCATCAACTCTTTGTCTACTCTCTGACCGGGGAATTGCTCCAAAGCTTTTCGGACCACACTATGCAAATCTCTGCAATATCAGTGGTAAGGTTCTTATTACAGTTTTTGATATCAGCAAATACTTTTATATATGTATTTTGAAATGAACAGGACAGCTTCCGTGTCGTGACTGCTTCTCTGGACCTCTCTATGCGAGTTTTAACATGGACAAATCGCAGAGACGCTGAACAAACACTAGAGGGCCGCTACCACTTACTGGGAGGATCGCATTCAATGTCAAGGTTCTTCATCATGATTTGTTGATTATTATGAAGTCATTTAAACTCATATTTGATTACTCTATGTTTGGTTTCAGAGGATTCACTCACGTTGTGTGCGATTACTCCAGCATCGTGGCATCGGTCCAGGGCACGGACGGAAAAGATGTTTTGAAAGTATATCGATTCACCTCTTAAAGGTGCAGGAAAGGATTTTGTTAGCTTCAGAGTCAAAACCAAAATCAGAGTCAAAACCAAAACTCAGACAGGTGCACGCACTGAAGAAAAGTGGGGTTTATTTAATTGGTTCCCATTGGTTTTTTTCAATCGGTTCACTCCAAATTATGTATGATTTATTTTTTGCAGTCACGTCCATTCCTTTTTGAAATCACATGATAACTTTTGGGGTTTTTGGACGTTTCCCGATAGTATTTAAAAAATTGCCTCTGTATAAATCATTGACTGCATCTTTAAGCAAAGGTCACGAAGCTCTATATAAATACAATGGTGTGCAAAAGTTTGGGCACCCATACTCATTTGTATGATGTAAAGGGGATATAAATCATTGGTTTTTTGGATAAGAACTTTAGTTAAATATATTATTAAAGAGACAAACAGTGATATTTGAGAAGTGCTATCCTTAAAGCTAGGGTACGTAACTTTAAACACACAAAAAGACTGAATTTCTTCTACGGGGATCAATAAAGTATCTATCTATCCATCTATGTTGTGGTCTGATTTGTCCACATTATTTTACCTGTTGGGACAAACGGGAGAGAAGCTTTAACTTAAATTTAACAGGTTTAGATTATATATCTCCTGTGGACTCACCACTTTCAGGAGGATCAGTGAGGGGCTGGTGCTCTGTGTACTGGGTGGCATCTCTGGCCACCCCCCCGACCCAGAAATGGATTAAGGGGAAGAAAATGGATGGATGGATGGATAGATTATATATTTTGACTGGTAAAATCTGTCCCTTTTTATACAGTAAGCAACAACATACACAAAAATACATTGGTCTTTCATCAATTGGAGGACTCAAAGTGGATTTAATAATTGCGTAAACGAAAGAAATTCAAGTTACGTTGTTATTTTTTTTTTTTTCATTTATTATTGCATACAGACAAATGCATACGTCACACATTCAGATCTTCATATATTTTCTTGTTTACAAAAATCCATTGTTTTTTTCAAAGGCATAAATAAAATGACACAACCAGCCTGTCCTATATTTGTATTTCAGCTGAGGTAAGCAGTCTTCAAAATAACCAGAGGTAAGGCAAAGGGTTTGACCTGGTCAGTTGACATTACCTGAGAATGACAAATAGTTTAACTTCATACAATCAGGTTCATATTTTTTGATAACTTTACACATTTTATTGGCACACACAGTTCTTAAAATAATTCCAATTATTTTTAGAGTAACTTAAAGTACGAACGCGGTAGATCTGTTACTATGAGCTGGTTTCTCCTCTCTTCCAGGAATTGCAGAAACACGGCAGACAGAGACTTGTACAGCTCACTTTCCCCGTCTGCGTCTGGCACCTGTGGCCACAAACATGTATAAACACAAAATCACAATATGTACAGTATGTGTCATATCAAAACATGGATTATTGGATTGAGAGAGAATGATGATTGTTTGGACTTGTTATTGGGCTACAAGTCTCAAGAACTAATATTTCAAGCATTTGAACTGACATACAGATCTACATACAGTTGTGTTTGGAATAAATCCATTTAGACATTAATGAAGCTCAAAATCCTATATTCTGATCATTGTTCTATGCTTTGGGGGTACGCCACATCATAAACATAGAAATAATATTGGTCAAAATAAACCATGTCAACAAAAGTCATGATCCAGAGACAGAGGATAGACAGATGGTGAGGAGGCTCCCACCTTGTAGTCACCATATTGGGGCAACCCCCTTTTGGCTGCGTGGAAGCCTCGCCAAGAGAACCATTTCTTTTCAGCCTTATTGTTGCCGTGTCAAGTAAAGTCATTCAGAAGAAAGCCCAGGGGAGAGCAGGGCACCAGGCAGGAGGATGGCTTTTCCCCACTCTGGGACGAATTAAGGATTTCTTAATTTTAATGAATCTATAGACCACCATCTCATTTGATTCCAAAAACGTCGGGGGATCCCAATACCACAAAACATTTTAAAAAATCACATATATTCAAACTTCTGTGCTTCACAAGTGCAGCCTTAATGAAAAAGATGACATCACTGTTGATGTAAAACTGTGAACTCTGCTCAAACTGCTTAAAGCTCCAACCACAACAATCATGATGAGGATCTTGGCCGATCACATTTTCAAAATGCTAAACTTTGAACAGCAGCACGCACTCACCCTAGTAAACGCCTTTATGGTTCGGTTAAAAAACGCAATCTCCACCTTCTCTGGGATGACCTCCATGTGAGCCATACAGTCCAGGATGCACGTGAGCGTTTCTCTGGCGCCCTGAGAGAAAAGAGAGTGAGGTTTGTAAACATGGCTGAGAACACTATTGAAGTTTGCATTTTGTAACTTTAACACAAGATCTTTCCATCTGCTATTAAAGACTGAATTTATAATTCTGCTCAATTGTGCATGTGCTTAGATTGATTATACATGTCTGACCTGTGAGCATTATGGACATTTTTATGTATGATGAATAACATCAGAATCATGTTTTTCAATGGTTAGTTATTATCTACAATCCCTTGAGTTGTTCAGGGATACTCCCACATTATATGGTATGATATATTTTTTTTTATCCAAAAGTGGAACCCTACCATCAAGCATAGTTTTATATCCGTTCAGACAAATCTTATAATATTCAAGAAGTCAAACAGCCAATAGAAAGGAGCATATATTGCCTAGTACCTATATATTAAAATACATTTTGCGTTTTCAATATCCAAGTATTCAGATATAGGCATTATGCTTGATATATAAAACTGTATTATTGTAACTTGTAGCCAGTTCTAATAAAACACAAGACATCAAAACTACTGTACGTTCCACAGAACATAGAGGATAATGTATGTGTTTTGTTCTCCTCTTGACCTGTTCCAGTGAGCTGAGATCTGCTTTGGGGTTGGTGTTACTTGGATCCAGTGCTTGAGCGTCTTCAGCAGAGATGACAGGTTCTCGGAGCTGCTCCAGCCAGGCCCACATGAGCCCCGTGAGGATGAAGGGGTCATGCTCAAGACACAGCTGCTCCCACGCCCCGCCCTGGTTCAGGTCCGCCTGGCGACACAAGTCAGTGCAGTTTTTACTCCCTTTGGATTTTATTTCTATTATTTACTAAGAGACCACAACAAAAGTAACAGACAACTATGAAGTGAACAAAACATGACATTCTGACATTCTCTACTGTCCCACTGCAGCCCCACAGCATGATGCTGCCACCCCCATATTTGACACTGTTTATGGTAGACTGAGGGTGATGACTGCATGATTACTTATTACAAACCCCATGTTTCAGTTTTCCAATTTTTTATATAAAAAAAACATGTAACCTATACATTTTCACACTGTCACAATTTTTCACATTTTCACTTCACAGTTGTCTGTTACTTACAAATAAAAAAATACAATATTTATGTTTGTGGCTGTAACATGACCAAAATGTGCACAAGTTTAGAGTGTATTAGTTTTTCAAGGCACTTTCAAAACACACTATGCAACCTCTTGAAGAATATGCTTTAGGCTACCTATAACCATACAATAATATTTAAAGCTGGGGTAACTAACTTCCTGTGAACAAAACAGACCTCACTGGGCCTCATTCACGAACGGTTCTTAGGAACAGATGTGTACGTAAATCCTACTTACGCGGTTTTTACAAAGAAAGTGGCATTCACGAATATTTCTCGTAACCAGAATTTCTCTTGGGCAAGTACAAATCCTACGAGTACTCAGGAGCACTCGTACGCATTCAGTGCCGACATGTTCACACGCCGGGGTTGTCCTCTTTGGTGAAGTTGAATAAAAATACAACATTCCAGTGATATGTCCGTCATATCGATGTATGTATTTATTTATTTGTAGTAATCTTTATTAGTAATCTTTATTTATATACCGCCTTTTTCACTGCAGATCTGGCCTACTTTTTAATTCATTTTGAAATGAAATGTGCCAACGCTTTATCAAATACATTGGAAATCTTGCCGTGTATTAGTGACCCCTTCCTATTTATAGGGGGCATTTCTTTATCCACGGGCCACAGAACAACGGCATATATACTGCTGCTGCAGGAGGTTACTGGGTCCGCGCTGAGTCTCTGCGCTGGTCTCTCCTATGGATCTATACGGGTCTGCACTGGTCTCTCCCATGGATCTATACGGGTCTGCACTGGTCTCTCCCATGGATCTATACGGGTCTGCACTGGTCTCTCCCATGGATCTATACTGGTCTGCACTGGTCTCTCCCATGGATCTAGACGGGTCTGCACTGGTCTCTCCCATGGATCTATACTGGTCTGCACTGGTCTCTCCCATGGATCTAGACGGGTCTGCACTGGTCTCTCCCATATACGGGTCTGCACTGGTCTCTCTCCATACGGGTCCGTGCTGCATGCTCCTGGATCCATACGGGTCCGCGCTGGTCTCTCAAGTCTGGTCTATGCGGCCTATCTTCGGTCTGCGCACCGGTCTCTCCAGTCAGGTCACTCCAGTCTATGCGGTCTCTCCTATAGGTCCGCGCTGGTTTCTGTGTGCTGGTCACTCCAGTCTCTCCTCGGGTCTGCATTGGTCTCAGCGCTGGTCCGCGCTGGATCTCCTCCCAGGGTCCAAAATATTTTGAGATTAATCTCAAAACATTTTGAGATTCATCTTTAAAATAATACATAATATATTTTTAAATTAAGCTCATAACATTTTGAGATTAATCTCATCATATTCTTAGATTAATCTCATAATTTTGCTAGTTCGACTTTATTATCATAATATTTCGACTTTTAAGTCAACATTTTATAACTTTATTCTCAGTCTGGTAAAAGAAGAAAAAAGGGTGAATCTTTTGCTCCGTGGCCTGTTGCTTTAGGCCTGTTGCTGTTTCCTCTGCCGTCTGCACACGGCCCTGCAGTCCCTTATATGGGCATTAGTGGGCGGTTACTTATGCTAAGTACATATGCTAATGAAGCACCTGGCACGCGCGCTGTACTTACGAGGAAATGGGATTCATCAATCTGAGAGAACAGCTGCGAACAATTCAGCGCCTTACGAGTGCGTTGATGAATCCCACGTGGGGACTTCTTAGAAATCTACTTAAGGACAACTTGAGAAGAAAGTTGAGTAGTTTCTTACGAAGTTATTCGTGAATGAGGCCCAATCTTCTGTCTTCATACTATTTGGAAAAATGATGTCTTTGGTATTCCTGTGAGTCACTATTTGATGCTTTGGGAATGAGGGTGATCGTCTGTTTTTCACTTTACTGTCTAAAAAAGCATATTTTATTACGTACTTCATACCTCATACTTCATGTTTTATTTTACTTCACAAGTAAAAACTCCTTTAAGTTACAAACATGACCTGACCCTGACAGAAAACATCTACACACATAAATCTTCTCCTTCACCTTTCTATTTTCATTCATAATTTTACACATTTCATAAAATTACATTATTGGGCGGTACGGTGGCTGAGTGGATAGCACTCTCGCCTCTCAGCAAGAAGGTCCTGGTTCAAACCAGGGCCTTTCTGAGTGGAGTTTGCATGTTCTCCTCGTGTCTCCATAGGTTTCCTCCGGGTACTCCAGTTTCCCCTACCACTAAAAATATGTACAATGGGTCTGGCATGCGCCTCCTGTTTGGCGACCCCGCTCCCATCTCTGTGTGGAGTGAGAGACAAATGCCCAAAAATAACAATTGTAAACCGCTTTGTGACTCTGGTCTGTGAAAGGCGGTATATAAATAAAAATGACTTACTTACTTATAATAATCTAATATCAATAACATGTAAGCCATAAGTACTTTGATAGTGGCCAAAGCAACCACAACTACCCAGACAATTACATCCAAACTCACATAAACACACTTGCTTACCTGCCAATTCAACACCTTCTTCTTGTGGACCTCCTGCCCGTCCAAGAACAAGTCTACAGCCAGAGCCTGAGCCACCAGCAGCCTGCGGGCGTCCAGCGACAGCTCCGCCTGCAGCGTTATGAAGGGCACCTCAGACACTTCCTCCTCTTTTGCCCCGGCCTTCATCCCATTCATCGCCAACTCCTCCCTCTGCGCTATCTTCAACCTGGAAAGCAACCCTCCTCCTTTTGCCGCACCTTTAGTATCCTCCACGGACTCGCTGCGTTGAATTCCTTCTTTCTTGGCTTTCTTGACCAAAACAGAGCCATCTTTCTGGTGCTCCAAGTTTTTGACCTCCCACAACGAGCTGCAGGAGCTTACTGAGGAGAGCGAGGCATTGCTGCTCCACAGATTGTTCTTCCCACTTGTCGGTGACCCGCGATATCCAATGTCGTCTTGTGATAAAGACGTGACCTGTTGTGTCAAAAGATTTAGATCTGAGCCAAGTCTTCTCAAGTCTGACTCGCTATAACACAAACTTTTGCGATGGTAAAAGATCGGAGGTTCGTTGAAGTGTCTTGGGAGTTTTGGCGAACCGGGCAATCGCCGTTGGTTGACAAAAATCTCAGGCCCTAGTTTCTCTATTATGCTCTGCTCCATCTCCAAGTCTTCACTGTCTGGAGCTTCCAAAATGTCTTCTTCGATGACTTGTCGATTCTCAGCGATGTCTATTAAGAGCTTGCACACCAGCTGGATGATCTTGGGGAGGTACCTCAGCTGCCTTCGCTCATACCCGTGCAGCATGTGGCGTTGGCGGTTCAGGTATTGGGTGAGGGTGACTGGCTGCGTGAATGGTTTGGCGCACGAAAACACGCTCCTCAAAGGGACGAGGAACTTCACAAACTGCCTCACACATTGCAGCTGGCTCCGGGTCTGAATGGAGTTTGGCCGTTTGGAGCGGACGTAGAGGATGGCCTGGTTGGCGGTCATTCTGGTGGTGAAGGTGATGAAGCAGGCTATCAAGACGCCTACCGAAGACACAACAGATTTGGTTCAAGAAGAATAACTTTAACGATTTTAAAGGGCCTTGTAAAAGCAAGCGTCTACACATTCAATATTCATCATTTGCAAACTTGTAAGAAAGTTAATATGTGATCATTTGAGTGGGCCTCGCTACTTCACTTTTCTGTCTGAAGAATCTAATCTTTAGCTGTGATAGAGGACAATAAGACGTTCATTTGTAAACTAGTAATGACTGAACTGAAGTGCTTAGAAGCTTTATTTTACATAGTTTCATCTTTTCAGAAAGTCAGGTTACCCAACTTTAATGAGGCACAATGTAACATTTCCAGCTTTGTTGTTTATGGAGCTGGAGTTACTTTTGCTAATGCTGGACAGTGTGGAATTACAGTATATGCCTCTTTACTATATGTTTTCTATTACATGTGTTTTCAGAATGTTGTGCTAGCCTCGCCGCAATGTGACCAAATACCTATTTCCCCCTGCCCCAGAAAGAACTACATTAGAATGATACAGAACTGGACATATACCACATCCCAGTTTCTAACAGGGAAGTAAATGCATGCATTTGGATGCAGCCCTCATTCTTCCTGACATTCTAAGTGTTTTCTGACCTAGAAGGAGTCCGCTGTCTTAACAAAAGCATTGACAGTTGTACCTGTCCTCCCCAGCCCAGCGTGGCAGTGGATGGCCACCTTTCCCTCCTGCAGAGCAAACACCATGACTTTCACCAGGTCCAGCACAGCGGTCAGGGAGCCCACGCCATAGTCACTCCAGCCAAAGTTATAAAAGTAAACTTAAAACACAAGAAGAAAGATTTGTTTTAATTCATAAATTCAATAACATTCCCGTTCACTTGTTTCCGTAGATTTTCCTTGCATGATGTTCCCAATATGGCGTCAGACAATCGTCAATAGTATTATCATGGCATTAAAGGTAGGTTTATAAATTCTGTAGTTCCCTCCAAAAATGTTAAAGCTAAACTTTAAACACTTTTTGTGCTCATTGGTTGTCATATACAGCACATACTCATAGACATATAGTTACATGAGTAACTGTTGTTTTCATTAGTTTAGAGTGACACTTATTCTTTTTTATCCTTTTTCTACCACCATCTTCTCCTTTGTGTTAAAGATATTATAAATAAAAGGAAATCATAGATAATAATAGTTGTAAAAAGTAAAATGATATTACATTAAAAAGTTATCCTAAAAACACAACACAAAACCCAATAAAGACACAAAAAGGAGAAGAAAAAGTGCCAAGAACAATAGATGACTATTCTTTTGATTATATATCATATACAAGCTGTGGTGATGACAAAAACAAGTCAGGCTTGTTTGTCATATAGGAATTAGTAATTCTATTAATTGAGTCAGTTCTTTTGGAAGCCAGCAGCAGAAAACAGCAAAAAGTAAAGTTACGTACTGTTATTCTCCATGAACACTTCTGGACGATATGAAAATCCACTGTTTGGCTCCAAAGGGTTTCCACAGTGCGCGTGTTCACCAGGAATTTGTAGGTTGATAATTGTTCTAATGTCATTTCTGAATAAAGAATACAGTTAATAGTAAACAAAGCTACGCCAAAGATCATTAATATCTCCAGTTATTTACCTTTTAAACTGATCAATTATCTCATATTTTTCAATGGTTTCGGTGGAGGGTCTGGAGCAAGCCAGAATATGGTCCGTCACCCTAAAAGACAAAAGACGTTTACATTTGGGACAATGTTTAGGGGAATATTGCAGAAATCGCACCAGGAGGAGAAGAGCCCTTTGATTGCCTGTTGCTCTTCACTCCAGTAGGTGGGGCTGTCATATTTGCAATCTTGTCCTCCGCAGCCGTAAGAACACTGTACATCGGCTGGGACCACGTAGCGGATAGCCTCTCCAAATATTGTATACCTGGACCTGGGAGCGGTGACTACAAAGCATTAAAGAGAAAAAAATGTGCATGAAAAAATCTATTTGATGAAACGAGATCACAGATATAAGCGGCCAAAATAAGTGACTGAGTGCTCACTTCCATATAGGGTGAGGAGCTCAACGTAGAGCTGCTACTCAAAAGACAAAGTGGAAGAAAATAGATGATTGAAATTTATGTTTCAGCGTAATTTTGGTGATATTCAAATGGACATTAAAACTCCATTCCATTTAGTTTTCTTCTACTTTATCCGTTCCCTGGTCTGAGCAGAGACGTCTAGATTTCCCGACGTCTTCCCAGGCCAGCTGAGAGACATAATAGTCCCTCCGGAGAGACCTGGGTCTTCCCTGGGATCTCCTCGCGGTGGGACATGCCCGGGACACCTCCCAAGCATCCAGGAGGCATCCGGAACAGAAGCCTGAGCCACTGAAAACTGGCTCCTCTTTTTTGATTTTTGTTTGATAAAGTTGTACATTTTTTAAAATCTTAAAGGTTATTCTATCAGATTACACAGTGGGGAATTTTCAGTGTTGCATCACCGGTTACAGAACAGTAGGAATGAGGAACACACAACACATAAAATCTCTAACATTAGCATAAAAAAGCAATATCAAAATAGCTTTCGCGCAATAAGCAAAGCAAATCTAGAATCTACCGCTTATATGAAGAAGGAAGTACAAAAATATCAAAACACACAAAATATCTAACTTTAGCATAATAAAGAAGTAAGTTTAAAATCACCATAACAAATCCTCCTTCAAAATAGCGTGATAAAATATAGAGAACATTAAACCAAACCCTCATAAATAAAAGATAAAAATATAAATTAGTCTTTTATGCTCACAGTTCACGCCTTCTTAAATAATCAGATCAGATAGACCGCTCACTTAAGGTGTCTAATCCCTTATGTCCCAAATGCAACAAAGCTGAAGGCATCGCAGTTCTAAAAGCACTTATCCAGTATTTTTATGTATTCATCAATAGCAACCATATGCACAAATCCTGTATTATCACTCACAGAATTCCATCAGAGCACCTCCCGCTGCTTGTGCCATTGCAGGAATTCCACCAAAGTCATAGCAAAACCTACACAGGCAAACATCACACGTCATTATACCACATTTTTTGCACCCATATCCCATAAACTGCTACCTAAATGTGTAGTATCTCTGTCTGGTGGCAGTCTGTTGTCATAACTGGTTGCACATAGTCAAAAAAAGTGTAAAATACCTGTAATTCTTGAGCTCCAGCCTGTGTCAGCAGCATGTTTGAACAGTCTCTTCTTCTGGATGCCCACATTGGTGACTTGACTGCGTTCTTGGCCCGTGCAGAGTAAAGCTGGCCTCTTGATGTGATTGGTCACAGATAATCCTGCGTCGTAAAGTGGGGCGACTCTATCAACTCGTCCCGTGGGCTTGTACAAAGGCAGCCATTGATCCTGGGGACTGATTTTGTTGATATGTCTTTTTCTAAGGAATGTGTAGAAGGTTAAGCATGACTGGATGTTGAGTGATTCCCAGCGCCTCTTCCCTGTTGTGGAGATTGAGAGAACGGAGTGTTATTTTTGACTCCTCCCAGATTAGACTACTATATAATCTTATTACTCTGCAGGTATCGCAATAGAGCACCACGTTCTAAATACAGACTGTGTTTCATTAGTCACTCAATTACACCCACACACTCTCTCACACACGTACACAAAAATACAAAAACTTCAGATAAATTCAGAATATCAGACAAAGTTGCATATACAGTTCTAATTATGAAGTACTTATATAAAGTAGTCAGTATGAATGCATAGAGTATATCCAGTGAACTATCTTACCTTTCGGGTTTGGAATAGACCCAGACCTGTAACCAACAAACCCTAACCCACAAATAGATGGACCTCGTTGACAGCATGCAGATCAAATCTGATTGGCTTAGCCCTCGCCGCACTAAAGCTGGTTAGTTTGAGGATAAGATGCAGGTGAGAAGGAGGAGCGTGTGGTGTGAAATGCTATTAATATTTGTGGTAGATATATACACAACTGCAAATATGACAGAAGTTACGACTATAACTAAAGGAGATGAAGAAATGGTCTCACTCAGTATGAACTTCAAAGGACAAATCACAACATTAAACAGTATGAATTAAAAGATAATCAAAAATCAAATACAAATTCTCGGTAGAAAACCAGAAGCCAATAACAATCAGATGTGTCCCCCATTTGTGAATTTTAATGTCTCACAGTTGCATAAAGTGGGAAGCTAATTGTTTTCATGATTTCTAATTTAAGCCACTCTTGGGGGCCCTCCGGTGGCTTTAGGTGAGTGAGTCATACGTGATGACTCACTCTGCTTATTGGGTAGGGTCGGCCCTGGGTGGAAGTAATGTGTTGATTCAGATAATATTTCCAACTGTCTGGGACAATAACAATCTTATTTCTGAACTCCAACTGAAAAGGATGAAGTATTCATGAATAGATCTTGTGGTGCAAGATTCAAGTCGGGAGATTCTACGTCATGATACTACGTCCCTTAGGACTTCGCTAGTGGGATATCACTCGTGACCCCCAGGTCACGCGCCAGAGAGATCAAAATAATTTGCTCCAATCACCAGCCACCTTCCTCTATAAATGCCCCTGCACAAGGCCGCACCCCCTCTTTCACTCTGGCGCTGATTGAGATCTACATTTCAATTTACCTGAGGAAAGATGTCTTCTGATGCTCGTCCGAGTTCCCCTTCGCCATCCGGCGTCGGACGTCGTCGTTGCTCGACTTGTCGGGTCAAGCTCCAGCGCAAGGACCAGCACTCCAGCTGCTTCGTGTGCCTGGGTTCGGGCCATGCGGCGTTGAGCGCCACCTGCGCCTCGTGTCTCGCTCTCCCCAGGGAGGAGAGTGAACGCAGGCGTGCGTACCTCGCCGCTACAGCGCCCCGTCCGGACTCCTCTCAGGACGAGGAGTCTGTGATTGACTGGGCCCCCCTCGACCTTCCACCCGTGCCCGCGGAGTGGGGTGACTGCGAGGACGGAGAGGTGTCGGAGGTCGGCTCTCTCCTCACGCTGGACGAGGTGGTGTCCAACCCGGAGCCGGACCGCTTTCCGCTGGACCACATGCCTGGGCTCTACTCCACGGCGGCGGCCATCATGGATGCCCCCCTGCCACCGCAACCGAACCAGAGGGTGGAGGACTTCACCTCTGGTTACGCCACCACTCGAGGGAGGAGGAGAGCGCAGCCCACGTTGTGCCCGCGTATGGACCCGATTGTCCATTACGCGACACGTGAGTGGCCAAAGCCCCTAGCGGCCAAGAGGCCCGCTTTGGGGTACGGCATGTATTGTAACGTGCAGGACTGGTCCTGGACCGGCGGGGTCCCGGACATCGAGGACTCGGTTCGAGCGGCCCTGCACCCCTCCGCATCCGTGTGGCCTGGCACCAGACCTCTCCTTCCCTCCGAGCGGGATAGGATGTCTTTGGCGATGCACGATAGATGTTACGCCAATGCGGCTCAGGTCGTCGCGGTGGCTAACAACATGGCCTTCATCACCGGGGCCCTGGATAGGTCTCTCTCTTCTGGCCAGGCGCTCAGTGGAGACACCTTATCCCAGGCGAGGACCACTTCAGCAGCGGTCCTGCGCATGTGCCAGGCGCTAGTTGTCGATGGCGGCCGCACGATGGCAGCAGCACAAGTTGGGGCCAGACACCTCTGGCTGGGGCCGGTGAACCTCAGAGAGGCGGAGAAGAGGCAGCTGCTGGACCTGCCCATCTCCCAAACGTCACTCTTCGGTCCGGAGATGCAGACGCTGATAACTAGGCTGGACACCGCAGCTAAGGACTCTGCTAGCTTAGCCCAGCATCTAGCTACGAGGCGCGAGGCCCGCCCACCAACGCGGAGCCGAGACAGAGGCAGGGAGCGCTCGCCCAGCAGGCGCCCCGGACCATATCCACGCTCCGTGGTTCATCGTTCCCCAGCGACGAGGCCCCCGGGCCCAGACAGGCACACGGGAGGCTCGCGGGACCAACGCACCCACCGACGACCTCCCTATGGCAGAGGAGGTCGGGGTGGGAAGAATTCTTTCAATAAAAGCCGTGCGGCATTTCATCAGTACTCGCTGTCTGAGTCTCATTTGGGGGTATGTAACATGTCAAATGATTTGAATTCTGATTGTGTTACTTCTCGAGCATATAACGTGGCTCCGCTAGGCCTGCAGCCCCCAGAGAAGGGCGTGCAGCGTGCTATGCGGGCCACGGGCTCCGATTCACGGGTTCATGTTTTGCCCTCCCGGAGAGAGGGCAGGCGGAGGGATCTGGTAAGTGATAATGTGTGTGCTCCAGCCGAACGTGTGTTAGCATCTCTGAGCTACAAGGCTAACACGGGGTTTCCCACTCCAGGGGCTCGTCCCCCCCCTCCATGAGGCAAGAGCCAAGGGGGGGCACAGCAGCCGTGTCACGTGTGGTGAGCAGAGCTACAAGGCTAACACGGGGTTTCCCACTCCAGGGGCTCGCCCCCCCCTCCATGAGGCAAGAGCCAGGGGGGGGCACAGCAGCCGAGTCACGTGTGGTGAGCAGTCCCGTACTTATGACGTCGGGCCTGCAGAACACGTGACCGCCCTCGGCGCTCACGGTGCGACGCAGGGGCCCCCCCGGCCCTTTCAGCCACCCCCCCTCCCTGCTAGGAACACCAGGAGAGGGCGGGGCCGTGACGTCTCGTGTTCCAACTCCCGTTCCGCCCCTCACAGATTTCTACAGCATCTGGAGAGAGCAGGGCCTACTGACAGATATTTGGCTGGAGAAAACTCTGCGCAGAGGTTACGCGCTGCAATTTTTCCGAAAGCCACCACCATTCCGAGGCGTACGGGCAGTACGCTCTCAGGTACGGGGATCGACAGAGGCACTACAAGCGGAGGTCTCCTCTCTGCTGAGTCGAGGCGCAGCAGTGGAGGTAGACCCGCAGGACGCCACCAGGGGGCTGTACTCCCCTTACTTCTTAGTGCCAAAGAAATCAGGCGGGGTGCGTCCCATTCTGGATCTGCGCGTGTTAAACGAGTGCATTTCCAAACGGCAGTTTCGGATGCTGTCCACAAGGCAGCTCCTCGAGTGTGTCAGGGAAGGAGACTGGATGACTACCATAGACCTGACAGATGCGTACTTCCACGTGCCCATAGTGCCAGAACACAGGAGGTTTCTGCGCTTCGCAGTGGGAGAGAGGAATTACGAGTACTGCCGTCTACCCTTCGGGTACGCACTCGCGCCTCGGACTTTTTCCAAATGTGTGGAAGCAGCTCTGGAGCCGATCAGACGTGCGGGGGTAAGAATATTAACCTATATAGACGATTGGTTAATACTGGCTTCATCCAGGGAAGTGGCCGTGAGCCACACGCACTGGGTCCTGTCCCACATACAGCGTCTGGGCTTTGTGGTGAACAGGGAGAAGAGCAAGCTGCAGCCAGCCCAACGCATGGTTTATCTCGGTCTGCAGCTAGACTCTGTGATATTCCGTGCTGCATTGTCCGTGGACAGACGGATGAATATTACCCGTCTGGCCCGGGAGGTTCTGGCGAGCCCCAGAGTCCCCGCTCGGCGCCTCAGGTCCCTGCTGGGAATGATGGCAGCGGCTCATGCTGTGGTGCGGCTAGGCCTGCTCCACATGAGAAATTTTCAGAGGTGGTTCTCGCGCCTCAGGCTTCACCCCTCCCGGGACGGGGGGAGGCTGATCTGGGTTCCCCAAGGGGCAGCATCGGACATCAGGTTCTGGCTCACTCCGGGTCTATTGCGGGACGGAGTGACTCTGGCCTGCGCCGTGTCTCACGTCGAGGTGTTCACGGACGCGTCGCTCGAAGGATGGGGCGGGGTCCTCGGCCAGAGCTCTGTAGGAGGCTGCTGGTCGGACTCAGCCCGTCACATCAACCTGCTGGAGATGGAGGCAGTGCACAGAGTACTGCTGCACTTTGCCCCTCAGCTGCAGGGGAGACACGTGATGGTGCGCTCAGACAACACCACAGTGGTCTCCTATCTGAACAGGCAGGGGGGCACCAGGTCCCCCGCTCTCCATCGCATGGCGACGGTGACGCTGCTGTGGGCGGCGCTTCACCTCCTGTCTCTCAGGGCGCGCCACGTCCCGGGGGTCCGGAACGTGGGAGCCGACAGGATGTCCAGGGGGGGCCCACTCCAGGACGAGTGGGGCCTGGCCCCACGGGTAGCTGCGGAGATCTGGCGGAGGTTCGGCCGTCCAGTGGTCGACCTTTTCGCCAGTGCAGAGAACGCACAGTGCCCGTCCTGGTTCGCCTTAAGGGCCGCGGACGAGCCGCCTTTAGGCGTGGACGCTCTGGCTCATTACCCATGGCCAGGCGGCCTGTTGTACGCTTTTCCACCGGTGCGTCTCCTGCCGGTCCTGCTGCGGAGGATCGAACAGGAGAGGAGATCGGTGATCCTGGTGGCTCCGGACAGTCCGCATGCCCGGTGGTTCCCCTTCCTGAGGGGCATGGCGGTGATGGAGCCCTGGGCCCTCCCGGACGAGCCGGGGGCTCTAGTCCAGGGGGCAGGAGCCCTGTTTTCACGTCCGATAATCGGCCGCAGGCTCTGGGTTTGGAGGTTGAGAGGCGGAGCCTCGTAGATCTGGGTCTTCCCCCTGCGGTGGTGGAGACCATTCAGGGAGCGAGGGCGCCGTCCACCGTGAGGGCCTACGCCACGAGGTGGAGGCTATTCAGTGTCTGGTGCGATTCCCGTTCCTGGGATCCCAGGTGTTGCCCGCTGGAGGGGGTCCTGGGATTCCTACAGGAGCTCTTCGACAAGGGGAGGGCTGTCGCTACCTTGGCGGTGTTCGCGGCAGCCATTACTTCGGGTCACGACGGATTCGGGGGGTTCACAGCCCGTTCTCACCCGTTGGTTAAACGTTTTCTGCGGGGGGCGCGCAGGAGGAGGCCCCCGCTCCAGAGAACGCCTCCGGTTTGGGACCTCAGGGTGGTCCTTAGGGGGCTGTCGGGTCCGCCTTTTGAACCGGCGGCGGAGGCGAGTCCCGAGTGTATCGCCTTTAAGACGGCCCTCTTACTGGCGTTGGCGTCTGCGAAGAGGGCGGGCGATTTGTGTGCGCTCTCCGTCCATGCGTCGTGCCTGTCCTTTGGAGAGGACGACGGCATGGTGGAATTCGGGCGTTCTGCTCTCCCAAAATTCCATCCGATGGGCGGGGGAGCGACTGAATTTTGCGTTGCATTATGGGTAACACTTGCCTTCGCAACTTCCGGTTCTCTCTGCCCGGCGCATTTTCTCTAAATGGTTGAGTGTTTTCGTCATTTTCTGTATGCAAATACATTCCCGTCTCTAACTAGTGGCATATCGCGCAAATCATCCGTCCAATTCACATTCTTCCCTCTTAGCTGAACTTCATTCTCATTGTTACCATCTGTCACTCGCACACACAGCCGTTTTCGTTCACTCTGCTCGCTGTCATCTTCTTCTAAATCTTCATAAACACCATCCGCTCGTTGAACTAGCATCAACAATTCCTCCTTTCGTTTTCCCACACTGCAAATACCCTTTCGCTTCAACCTTTCACGCAATTCAGGCACTGTCAATCGTTTGTTGTTTTCGTGAGCCATATTCGCCATTGTATGAAATCAACCGGAAGTGAACTGGGCAACAAACGGTGTCATTTTTTGATCACAGCGCCGCTCAGTGGATGAAATTTTGGGAGAGCAGAACGCCCGAATTGTGGCCCAATCCGGCTTTTCTCCCCAAGGTCATCACGTCGGCCTTTAGGTCGAGGGTCATCAGGATTAGGGTTTTCCACCCGCCGCTGCATGCCTCCCCCGAGGAGGAGCGGCAGCACCTTCTGTGTCCTGTCAGAATGCTGAGGCATTACCTGGCCATGACGTCGTCATTCAGGTCGGGTGATCAGCTGTTTGTGTGTCTGGGCCCCAAGAACAGGGGCGCCCCGCTGTCGGCTCAGCGGCTGGCGCATTGGGTCGCCACGGCGGTGCGGCGGGCGTATCAGACGCAGGGTCTGGCCCCCCCGGTGGGTTTCAGGTCGCATTCCACGCGTGGGATGGCGGCCTCTACGGCCCTTCTCAGGGGGGCGTTGGTCGAGGACGTTTGCCGTGCGGCTTCTTGGGCGTCGTCCTCCTCTTTCGTCCGGTCTTATCTTTCGGATGTGTCGGACCGGTCGGTGGCCCATTCCGTGCTGAGTGCAGCGGACTGAGTTAGACCGTTGGGTCCCTCCCCTGAGGGGGGCCTTCGGTCTATTTTCCGCCCTGGTGCAGGAGCTCTTGGGAGAGGCATCCTACAGGTGCGGTGCATTTTGTGTGTGTGGTCGGTCTGGTAGTCCACGTCAGGAGCTCTTGGGAGAGGCGTCCTGTGACTACGGATGACCTACGGCTTGTGTTACGTGGGGGTATCCTTGGTAGGAGTGGCCCCGTAACACGCTTGTTTCTTCTGCCCTGAGTCCTCTCACGTTGTGAGGGTCTTGCTCGGGCGGAGCTCCAATCACCTTCGCTGGCCTGCTGGGAGTACATTTTCCTACGGCCTCCGCGTTGTGTCCCACTAGCGAAGTCCTAAGGGACGTAGCACCATGACGTAGAATTAATAGTTACTTTATGTAACTTAAGTTCTACGAATAGGTGCGTAGTCCCTTAGCTACGAGCCCATCAGGCCAGCCCGGCTTGGCAGAGTTCAAGAGGGGGTACGGCCTTGTGCAGGGGCATTTATAGAGGAAGGTGGCTGGTGATTGGAGCAAATTATTTTGATCTCTCTGGCGCGTGACCTGGGGGTCACGAGTGATATCCCACTAGCGAAGTCCTAAGGGACTACGCACCTATTCGTAGAACTTAAGTTACATAAAGTAACTATTAATTGTTTACATGTGGACGATGGACATGAGCTGAAAACTGGTTCTAAAGAGCAATAATATCTCATAGATTGTGTATTGTACATGATCAAAATATCTTTCCGTAATATTTCTAAATAGATAAACGGTAAAGCCTTAATTATTTTCCTCTAAAATCTTGACGTTGTTTCGTTCCCATGCCTCTGGTTTTCTTAATATTTATTCATTCTACATCTGCTTTACTTCGCATCCTCATTGTAACGATGCCAGTGGCCACCAGAGGGCAGCAGACACAACAGAATGATGCCGAAAGTAGAACTAGCATCAGTAATGCAAAGTAGGGCTAAAATAGTTAGTCAAAAATGGCTTGAACTAGGTTGCATTTATCTTGATTTTAGAACATTTTGTCAATCGGACAGACAGAAATGTCTTGTTTTTTAAAGAACATTCTCAATTGGAATGAAACATATACTTTCCTAAATTAATTAAACTATTTGTTTCAAACTTGTACTCCCTTATATGTTTCAGTTTTGACGGGTGACATTTGGATTCTCCTGTATTTTGACTTTGTTTTTCTTGTGGGTCCCTAAATCTGATTTTCAGGTAAATTAAAGGAGATTTTTTCAAAGCCAACAGTTGGTAATTCTGCAGTCTATTAGAGCCAACCTGCAGACATTAGCTATAACAGACTTTAAATGTATTAAACACCATAGGCCACTTTGGACGCAGATCCATCTTTGTGCAGGGACTTTTCCCACTCAGTAAATCAGCCATCAGAGGCTAAAACTGCAGGGCCCCCGCTTTACAAAGACCCCTCACACTTTGTTGTACTCCAAAGGCTTCTCTATTAGATTCAAATGGAATTCGTATTCATGAAAAACATAGGTCGGTGTGATAAGGGTTAATCCATCCATCCATCCATCCATCTTCTTCCCTTTAATCCATTTCTGGGTCAGGGGGGTGGCAGTCAGAGATGCCACCCAAGTCTCATAGCACCAGCCCCTCACTGACCCTCTAAAGGTGGTGAGTCCACAGGAGGACGGCTGCTCTCTGAGTGTGAGCATAGCCTTGATCTTTCAGTGGGGGCTTTGGGCAAAGTGGGGTTAAGTGTCTTGCCCAAGGACACAACGACAGCAGTCATCAGTGGGAGTCGGTGGAGAAGGTGCAGAGGTGGGAAATGAACCCACGACCTTCTGGGCTTAAGGCCAATGCTCTACCAACTGAGCTAACTATCTTAATAAACATCTTATTTGAAATTCGGGTAGATCTGGGAGGATTGATTTTCTCTAAATGCATTACAGTTTATTTTTGCTTATTAAAACCGATGGATCACTCTATTTACCTTCCCAGTGGACCCCAGATAATTACTGTACAACCATCAAAATCCATTCAAATCTGCATATTTTAGCAGCGACCAAAAGGGGGCGTCTTGTCCCACTCCAGCACAGACAATTTCCGCGCTCCACATCGGCACATTCGCGAAGCATCCTGGCACTTGGAGTTTTAGCTGCCCGCATTCCTTTAGAACTGGGACGCACCGAAAGACTACATCCCCCAGCAGCCTTTGCGACGTGCTGGACGCGCCTCCTAACGAAATCCATCAGCTGTTGTGACTCGCCGGCTTCTGTGGAGGATGAGAGCGGCGGAAAACGTGAGCGTGGACTTTCAAAACAAAAGACATATTTATCAAAATAGTCATTTACACCACATTTTAACCCAGTGGCTTGAGTCATATTAGATTTATGTTGCATTTACAGGACTAAAGTTCGCGTTTTGGCTTTGCGTAAGCAGTTTGACGTCCATTTATCCTACCTATTATTTTGAAACCGGAAGTTGCGTCTCATCCATGCTTTGGGTCGGTGGCTGGGGTGCTTAGCAGAGCCGCGTCGTCGGTAAAAGCCGGGGGAGAGGCGTAGGGAGAAGATCAACCTTCGCAGCGATGGAGTAATTCTAAAAAAAAGCAAACTCCCCCTCCCCAAAAGAAAGCGTTCGGGACACATCCATGACCAAAGACGCGCGCCAGGCAGCAGCGACAGAAACAACCATGCCATTCAGACACAGACGAATTTAAGCTCGTATTTCAAGGTTATTACCCATCCACAGCGTCATCTTACTGTAACCATGTCCGTGGACCAGCAGCAGCAGCAGCATTACCTGGGCTTCAGCGACAACATGCCCGGGTGGATGAGGACCGAGATGGAGCGCCTGTCCCGAGAGCTCACCGAGACCACCAACGAGAAGATCCAGGCGGCGGAGTATGGGCTGGCGGTGCTGGAGGAGAAGCAGCAGCTCAAGCAGCAGTACGAAGAGCTGGAGACAGAGTATGAGAGCATCAGACACGAGCTTGACCAGTTGAAAGAGGTGAGATTTTGCTTATTATTATGTTATTACAGCTATAGCAATGCATTCAGATCTTTTGCTCTCAGTAGGTATGCGTTATTATTATAGATCTATGGTTATTACTTGTTGATTGTGTCATTTGTGCGCAAACTAGTCTCCAGAGCTTTCATTTTTGAGTGTGAGAATTTGGGATTTTAGAATAAATCTGATAAAGCTATAGTGATAACTTTTCCTATAGATGTCTTTTTTTCCTGCATTCTCATTATTTTCTACGGTAATTACAGCTCTATCTGACGCATACAACCTCCTTACATTATGTTTTAGTCTTTTTATCATTCAAAAAATGACCAATTGATTATGAAATGTATCTGTTTGCTGGGATTAATTGATGATTTCACTAATGTAGTTTCCAAAGCTGTCTTCTCACAAGGTCACTCAGCCTCTGCATCATGTGAAGGATATGTTTGCGCCCCTATGCTGTGCTACCACCCCCTTCCCCCTCCAGCTCAGGGTATCCCCCACACCCCCCTATATCACCCCTGATTATTTATTTACGCAGTTGGGACCTCACCCTTTCCTTGCCTTTCACATCCTCACTGCCGATCTTATGCATGCCACCACTGTAAAACACAATTGCTGTGTTGAAATACTTTAATATTTGAACTTTGTGTATTTCAAGTACGTCTAAAACTGCTTTGCTTCGCTGTGGTAATGTCATTTTCTGTACGTGACTCATCTTCCCCATGTCATGAACCGGTTAACTTTGCAGAGGCGGGAGCATGTTTGAATTTGAAAACTTCCCGCTCTGCTGTGGAGAAGTTGGAATCGTTAGTGGCCTTTTGGGAATGGAAAGAATGTGTCGAGCAGAGAGAGGAGAGATAAAGGAAGTGTGTTTAGTCAGAGGACAGAAGCAGTGCTCTGGCTTGTCCCGGGACGTCCCATCTGAATTCAATATGGTAATGCACATTGTCACTGTCTTGTGACTGATGAGGTGTTTTCACAGCAAGAACTAGTCCCTATTATGCCCCAACAACTCTCAATGATTAATTTAATATAAATATTCTTTTTTTTTATGAGGAATTTCTATGAGAGGGATTCTACTGGGCAATGAAAGCATTACAGAAAAAAAAACAGTTTTGTAAGGCATCTGATGTTGTTCAAACTGATTTTATCAAAAGGTTCTTGGTCTGAGTGGAAAGTAGATTAAGATCAAGAGATCTTTATTAGTCCCACAGTGGGGACTTTTCAGTACCAGCCCCAGAGCAGGATCTAAAAGCAGATCTAAAAATTGTTGCCCCATTATCTAGTTCCTATTAAGTGTGACTGTTTTTTTAATAAGATAAAGAGTAAGCTAGTACTGCTTAATTACCAAATTTAAGATAACAGTATTCAACAGTAAAAGCTTATTTACTCTCTTTGTCTTTTTAAAAGAACCTTCTAAGTCTTAAACTTAAAGACATGATGGACTTTAACCAAGGTTTCAACAGAAAAACCTCTGTTGGTTCCTCTTTGGTTGCATTCAGGCTGCAACTCAATCAGCAGTAGGGGACAATTACATATTTACATATTTGGTGTCAAAACAAGTCAACTAGAAAAATTTCATAGATCCACAGTAAATTGAAAAATAGGTCCAAATAAACAGTGTTGGTTCTAATTTAAATGTTAGATCTACCGGTTCATACTGCTGTGCACTGGAAGTAAAAACTAGTTTCTAAGAAAGTCAATGTTTTACAGACAAGTACTTGCTCCAGAGCAGGAGCCTAAACAGTTCTGAAGTCTGTCACTTTTCCTGGGCTCATGTGAATGCTCCAAAATAGGAACTGAAAAGAGTAACCATAGAGCAAAATAAATGTCACCGTCTTGTGACTGATTGCCATGTTGTTTATATTCACGGGTTTTCCATCATTATCTGTCATACTGTCAAATGCATTTAGTCATTCCCCACTCACATCCTCTTCTCTGCTTCCTCCTGACCTGCGTGCTGTGAGCTGCTGTATATTTTTAGAATGCTCTTTTATTTTGCGATGCCAGAATTCTGCTGTGATTCGGTGAAGACAAACACTGGAGGACTTTCACCTCCGCGCTGCTTGTTTGTGCACGGTTCAGAATGGCTTTGGGCTGTTTCACCAGTTCTTGCATTTTTTCCCAGGCATTTCTTTCACTGGAATGAACACACAAGCACACGCTAAAGGGAAATATACCACACAACCTTTGCTCATTAAATCAAAGAAAAAAGGAATAGAGTTGGACGGTTTTGGGAAAAATAGCAAATTGTGATTTTTCTTACCAGCATTGTGTTTGTGGTTTTTCAATGATAAAAATAGATTAGTTATAATTATATATTATATTACTTTATACATTGGATTAAATAGTTTTAATTTTAATTTATTTATTTTATTTTATTTTATTTTATTTTATTTATTTATTTTATTTATTTTATTTATTTTATTTATTTTATTTATTTTATTTTATTTTATTTTATTTATTTTATTTATTTTATTTATTTTATTTATTTTATTTATTTATTTGACATTTTCACTCTTAAAGCAGATTTGAAAATAATGACCAAAATAAAATTGATAATTGATAAGGCAAAATCATAATTTAAAATTGTTGTACCTGTTTTTTTTTTAATCTCATAGATAATACATGTTGTTTGTTCCAACAGAAAAAGCCAAAACAGTTCTAAAATGGAGTCCACCAATCAGACCAATCAAACCGATTTTCACCTTTTGAATACTTGTAAGAAAGATCCCTATAAGTCACTATTTGACGCTTTGGCTGAGTGAGGTTGCGTCTTTCTTTTTCACCCATCTGGAAAAGACCAAAAATACTGTGCATGCATGTGAAAACTAGTGATAGAACCAGAGAGAGCAAACTAGTCAGATGGATTTTATTACATGAAATACACACAAACTGAGACCCTGTTTACTCAGAGACGCTGCTACAGTAAAACGATAGAGTTGGCGATCAAAAGTGGGCAGTGTAAAGTTCCACCTCCCACTACTTGCCTGGGCGCTAGAACTACATTGTTTTCCGTCGCCGTGTAGACGCTTTCCTCTTCGAATCCGGAACAGGGTCAATTTTTGCGAATTGCTTTGCAGCGTCTCCGTCTAAACAGGGCCTGAAATCCAAGAAGGGCTGTTTGCGATCCATTTTTCAGCCTGAGAAAGACGTATTATCTTGAAGGAGGTTCTTCCGTCGCAGCACCCTCGTCATGTGTGCTTTTCATTATGCTGCATAGAGCCTTCTGAATGGGTAATAAAGCGGATTGTTTGCAGAGCTGTGGCAGAAGTTCATTCCTTTGCGATGCGGCTGTAGATCACCAGCGAGATGTCGTCGCTGAAAAACCATAGAAATCCTGTGTTTGGGTTCGTCTCGATGCTATCGACAGAAACGCACATTCTTCCAGCATCCCCCATGACTTCTTTTGTTGTTGTGTCTAGAGAGGGAGGTCGTAAACTACTTGAAATAAAGTAGGATTTAAACTGAAATGTTGCCGGGTTAGTTTCGTAGACAGTTGTTCACACGCCCAAACAGAAATCTTATTGTTGCCGTACTTTGGAGATTATGGTTTAGTGTTAAGGATTCAACAACAAGGTGCTAAGATAAGGTAAAAGTTCATTAATCTCATATTGGAGAAATTTGGTGGTTCAAACACACACTGACCCTTGTTTTATTGCCATTATTTTAGAATATATGGCTTCACACAACCAATAAGTGAAAAAATATGTGTTTAAATATGACCAAAACAATTACATCTCTGGCTGGTTGTGTAAACTTCCAGCCACAACTGTGTGTCAAATTTACAGTGATTAAAAATAGACAATAGGGAAAATGTTAAGATTCAATGGGTTGAATATTGTCTAAGAGATCTGCTGAAGAGGTAGTTTCTCTCTTCATTGTCTCAGTCTCTGTCCATTAAGGCAGCGAATACAGGGAAATACAATTAAATATGAAACATCTTTGTCGCCACCATTAAAGATGGAACATACAATATTTACTTAAATCCGCAATATTCGGTGTAGCTCTTCGCCTCAGGACAGGTTCCTGACCGTATGTCATTTCCTCCAGCACTTTGAACACCAGAGCAAGCAACCCTTTAATGATTATAATAATGATTGGTGGTCTCTGGAGAGTCCACAGCTGCACTGGTGGAAAGAGCAGTCATGTTAGCCCACACGTACAAGAGAAAGGAGTCCTGTACACCGCTGTTGCTTGGTAACGACAGGGCTCTGTGCCTAAATGTGTGAGCAGTGGGACCAGGCTGTCTCCTCAGCAATCAGTAAATCTGCCATGTGTTCATGTATGAAAGCAGGTACAAGACTGGACTCATAGGCATTACAATAGCTAATAATTGACAGAGACATATTATGCAAAATTGTCAACATTATTCCTGCAAATCAGCGTTGTTTTTAGGGATGTAAAAAACTATGAATTTTCATGACCGACCACCGAGCCTCATTAACCGGTTGAAACCGGTTAACCGCGTAGTTTAAAATAGTCCACGTTCTTTGAAATAACAACCATTTCGAGCCGCGTACTTTTCATAAGTGCAGCTCTGCGTTCTACTGGATCAGAGCCGAGACAGCGGCGCCCAAACCCGCAACAGCTCCGGCACCTTTGCGCACAGAGAACTGCTGTTTTAATCTTCCCATTCTGCTGTGCTGCGGGTTAATACCAAAACTTTCTAGCAGCAAACGACGGCTCGTTCACATGGTCAGAGCAGCGAGTGATGAGCCGCGTCTCACAGGTCTTCACAAAAGTTTAAATACAAGTGATGTGTGTGGAGCTGATCCCGAGGACCATAAACACAAACATGTTCCATGTGGTTTGACTGGAGCTGCGTATTTGCGCGAATCCTTTGGGCTCCGTGACACAGAGGAGCGCGACAGACCGGTATGTGTGTGTGTATGTATGTGTGTGTGTGTATGTATATGTGTGTGTGTGTAAATGTGTGTGTGTGTAAATGTTAGCTCCAATGTAGTTCTGACCCGCGCCAGTGTGCAACTTTGACGGTA